AGAAATAAGCTGAATTTATTGTAATTGTATAGTGCACTGAAATATTGACACGCGTCAATAAAGTGTACTAGACATGTACTAGACGCAAAAGAGCCTTAAACTTAAAGTCGAAACTGAGTATAGATGAGTGGGCCAGATGAATTCGCAGAGGGTATAAACATAAATTTTCTGAAGAAATTTGAATTTCAAACTTTCGATTTAGAGTTTAAATATGCTGCCCAAATTCTCTCTCTCTCTCATTATATAACCACATGGCAAAGACGGCATAGAGCCACTTTTATGATTCGTAACGTCTTATTGAACACTATGACCGTGCCTTCGATCTTAGCTCGCGGTAAACCAACCGAAGAGAATGTATATTCGTAAATTTACATAGAAAATGTTGACTTTCGAAACAATTGCTGCCGCTGTAAACAATTGTACCATCAAACAATAATTGATGTTACAAGGAAAGGCAAATATTGCGATCGAAAAAATGTGTAAATAATAATTTTTTGGACCCGTTGTGAAAGAAACGTCGTCATCGATCGAGCAGCTTCCTTAACGAAGCTAGAAGGAAAGGGAGTTTATCCTGCGGCGGAAAATGATCAGACAATTGCCAAAAATAACCAAGTTTACCAGTTTGGAATCCTTCGAAGGCTACATATGACGCACGGGAACGATGCCCTCGATGCACATTATTATTAAAATGATTGCCGCGCTAAAAGCGACAGCGACGAGAGATGGAAAGATAAATAGCCATCGAAATTTCGCCACGAACACAGGCACATACGTAAGATGGTGGAATGCGTGCGACTTTCGCGTGAAAAAAATTGTGCAATAGGCGCGCTCGCCTCGGCAGCGGGCTGGTGCTATAACGCATCCAAGAGTTTTCGCGAAGACAATACACACGCACACTTGTGTTGCGGCCCATAAGCGAGCGACGACTTACCCAATGCATGTTGTCTGGAGGCAGAGGCGCGTGACGCGCCGGTAGTCCTGCACTCGTATCAGCTTTCGTTCGCCAGTCGTTTGTCCTCAACCGCTTTTTCACGCTCTCTGCATCCTACGTACAACGTCTACTCCTGTGCAAGCCAACACTTCTCGAATCACTCGCTACGGGAGAGGAGACGCAGTGTAATCTCGTGCGTGCTGTTTCTCGAGGGAAGCTGCCGCTGCACTCGTGCGACTTGCATGGATTCGCGTATCCACGCGTACTGAGTTTCACACCCGAGGGAGGACTGTTACTTTCATAGAGCTTGGCTCTCGGCTGCTCTTCCATTTCCACCTCTCTCGCACGCCGTACACCTTCTCGACTCGAGCGAGTCTTATAGTCCGGTGAAAGGAAGACATTTCCAGTTTCTTTCTCTCTCGCTCGCACTCGCGCGCGCGTATGCGCGCCGCCGCTGCCTCCTTATTTTATTTTACATCTTTCCTTTCGACGCTACAGCCTTTTCGTACGCGACGCATGCATCCCACGTACGCTGCGCTCGTGCACGCGAGCACCGCGCCAGGTGCAGCATTGTAATGACAGCGCTTTCGTCTTTTCACCGAGCGTGCTCGCGGCAACGCGCGAGGGTGTTAAGTTTTCACATGCCCTGCCGAGTCTTGGAGTTCTCAATCTCATTCGACTCGCTCATTCGACTCCCTCCGCGAGCCATTGACGTCGCAATAATTCATCGGGCGAATCGCTTCTTCTGCAAATACCTAAAATCAGTCGTCGTGTGACATTGTCACGCATTAATCGAGGATTGGCATTACCATAATAACGGGGTTGGCGCGAGCGCTTGTAACAACTCACGCAGCTCAACAGGTATCCAGCACGTGACGGCCCATATCAAATCGATCTCCACCGGTCGCCATTAATAATTTAGCACCCCGACAATAAAACAGTTATAAATCATTTCCTCTCCGCGTGCGATCATCAAACTAAAAGGTTATTATAGCCCTGAGAACTGCAGTTAACGTCGCTCATTTGCCGTAAAATCGCTCTCATATCCGCTCTTAATTTTCTTCCGAGGCGCCGTGCCTGTCAGGCGATTGCGAAATCTCGAAATCAACTCTCTGATCTTTCCCTTGATGAGAGATATAGACAAAAGACCCGCGAGAAAGCTTATAATATCGCGTCCCGACAAGCCGCGAATTCGTACAAGAGAAAGTGTCTCTCCTTCTTCTTTTTCTTCTTTTCTTCTTCTCCACGGTGCATCTCCATCGGATGGTTTTCACTTATGTAATCAGTCGATGAGCGATTTCGTTCAGTCCCGTAATGTGCCTTTAAAAGGTGTCAAAACGACCTCTCGCAGTCGTTTGATTGATACTCGTCAAAATTTCATCTTGAGATTTATAAGAGTCAAGTGTCGTTCATTGTTACAAATACGCGTAAAACTTTTGTTTTTTTTCACTTATTTGCCTAAAGATGATTTTGATCGACTTATCATTTTCATTCGATCGAGCGTATTAATGATATAGGCGATCATAGTTGCGTATACTATGAAGTTTCGGTTGACGGTGCGGTCGATTGCTCAAAAATTTATAAACCACTTAAATGATACAAGATGGCTTAACAAGAGAAGCCACTGGCTATTGCATATTCTGAAAGCTTTGCAATCGATAAACTTTCTAATCAATTAAATCTTGAATATAGGTAACTCAGTCAATGTAATTCATTAAAACGAACTTATCAAATTGCATGACCTTTGTAAATTTTCGTAGTGCAAGTTCTTCAACGCCGAATAGATGACAATGTAGTGGCTCCACGCATAATTTAATGGAGTAGAGAAAGGTAAAAATATCTTGCAATAATATTGGACAGGTATGCGATCGACGAGTTAAACGCATGTTGCGAATCACACGTAATCCAACTTCCTGTATATTTATAATGTTATCGATAAAAAGTTACACGGCGATCCAGTGTCCGAACTAATTACAATCGAAGCAAAAAAACGAACGCTGACAATTAAGCTTGTGAATTTGTATTAGCCAATGTGTACAATTGTAGAGCCTGTGACAGTGAATATACAATAATGCAAAAGCATTACGAAGAGTGCCCACTTGATCGTCCATAATCGAGATCCGATTTGCCGAAACAACCAATTTAAGCGTTCAGCGCTGACAGCTAAAAGAGAGCTAAAGAGAAACTTCAAAGAGACCAATTGATCGTTAAGCATCGGCTAGTTTGATGCGAGTCGATTTCCAACAATAGCAGCTTTGAGTGTGCTACGCAGATTATTCTCGCTCTAATTGTGAGTTACTTCAAAATGACTCCGTTATTGGCTAGTTCTCCTTTCCAATACAAAATGTGAATTTTAATGCGTTTTTGCAAGCTATATCTAGAATAGTGTTACGACGTGTCTTTTCTTAGCGCAGTTCCAAACATCCAATCGTAAAAGATTTAACGAGTCACGCGAGCACGTGAAAAAAAAGCATTATCAAGAATGGTCGATAAATAGCAGGTGTTTTTTTATTTAATTATTGACGTTGTTGAAAGTACGAACATGAAAAGGTGATTAGTCAATTTAACGAGTTATATTCGCGGCAAGTGTATTAAAATAACTCGTAAAATAGTACTATTACTATCTTCAATTTCAAGACGAGAATAAAACGGTAATATATACAACCATTAGCGCGTAAATAAAATTGCGTTTTCGCGGAAAATATACTCTTTCCTGGCGCACGTATATATTCAGCGAGAGCGGCATTGAACAACATATCATCATATAAGACACACACTCGCATCAAAAAGCCGATGAGGTGGCAACCACGAGAAACGAGTGCAGGTAAAAGCGCTACATGCATACGTAATGAGCGATTGGCTGCGAATGCTCTTTTATAATGGCGAACAGTGTTTTTGTCAGAGCTCGTAGTCGTAGCGGGCAATCCATTCTCGAAACATAGGAAAAAGCTGAGCGCGGACAGGAAGCGCGGCCCCACAGCAAACGTAGCTTCCATAGTTATTAGGAACAAACTCCAGTCCACTTTTTGTTCCGACATCTCGAGCGACAGCACTCGACGTAGACGCCGACTACAATCTAAGTGACATTTTCTATTTTCACGAGCTTCCACAAAGTCGACGACCGCGACTTTCATGTATCCATCCGTTACATAATCGACCGAAAAGGCGCCAAGGAAAAAATCGCTATGTTGCGAGAAGCATCGCGTCTGGCTCAAGTTCAAGTACACAAGGCAGCGACAGAAAGAGCGAGGGAGTGCCGCGTAAAAGCCGCTTGCACGTAGCAGCGTAGGCTTGGCGACAACACCGTGAAAGTGCACTGCATATGAACAGCACAAGCGTGTGCAAGCTCTTTGTCCGCGGAGTTACGGAGCCGTGGAAAAGTAGCGCGGGATAATTGAACCGAGCGAGATCGAATCTTGGATGGGAGAGTGAGAGATTATGCAACGTAGCTGCACGCCTGTGTAGGATGCGTGTATATCCATGGTAACAAACGGAATTTAGAAGACGAGAGTAAAACAGCCTATTAACTGTGATACAATTGGAATGGATCTTGACGGATGAAAAATAAATTGTAAGCTACCCTTGTGCTTCGGGCAACTTTTGTAATTGTTACATAAAAAGGACCAGCTAAACGTCAACTAAGTAGACGGAAACCTAACGGAACCGGGAAATTGTTTAATAAAAATGCAAATAAAGTTCACGCATCCAAGAGACATCTGTAATAGAACCTTTCGAATTGCAAATTGACACTGTCGGCTTACATTGTAACCCATGGGCGTGTGACACACCCTGTCGAGTATCGATTTTACCATATAAATAAAATATAAAACCATCGAGATACGTAAGTTACTCGCATAGCGTTTGTAAATGACTTACGGAAATTATGAATTGCAGTCAACGTTTGACGCGTGCGAGAGGCGCGTAATGATGGCTAGCGCTAGAACGAGTAGCGTGTGCTGCCCGGATAAGCGTAAGATACGATCGATTGTGCAATTTTTAAGCGGCAGCGTGGAGCCCCACCCCCCTCCCTCCCCCGCCGCCGCCAGCCGCCGCGCGAACGCCGCTTGTTTTCCGTGGCGCGCCACTCTCGCGAGACGATTAAATAACGTTAAGTACCAAGCATGAGAGAGAGAGTGCTCGATTTTTTTTCAATGCGACGGCTACGAAACACGACTTTTTAAATAATGTGTGTGTGCGCGCGGCTTAATCATAGCCTTGAGCACGCGAGCAACGAGTCGTTGTTGACGCGAGAATGTTGTTCAAAGTCCAAAGGAAAGCGGTTGACTCTTCGAAATTTATTTTTATTATCGTCTTATACTAGAGGTGTGTACTTAAACAGGGCCACTGACATTTCGACAACTACATTATAACGATAAAAACGATTCTACATTTCAACATATCCTCGACGTTTTCATAAATATAATAAGATGGGCGGAACACATGCTTAATCAGTCGCGCGAGATCTTCTCTATTATAAAAAAAAACATAGTCATAACTTTGCGATAATACTACGGAGATCTCGTCTGTAAGCGATGCAGGCGCAACAATGAAATGCTTGCAGTCTTATGTTTTCGCTTTCAGCCGATAACTTAATAATAAGAGTAACAAACATACATCTGTAAATTATTTTTCTGTACAAAAAGAAACGTAAAAATCTTTGATAAAAATGCTAGTCTAACGTACGCGATGTTGTAACTAGCGGATACGCGCAATCTTTTATCCTTTAAGCTAATCAAGAATGCACTCCCCGGATGTAAAAAGCCGATTGGATCGATAAACCGCGCAAGTTTAATCCTCGGTCTGAGTACTTTGGTGAGCTCTCGACGGTAATGGCAAGAAGGTATCTCCGATGCTGAGTTCACCTTGTTGGAATCTCTGAGTCTCGCGAGATGAACCTCTGAGCGAAGCTGCGACCACTTGTTCGCGCATCCGAGCAATTGGCTCGCGTGCTCGAATGCGACACCAGCCTCGATGACGTTTTGCCGCTGGACTCGTTACCGTCAGCTCGCTGTTCATACTTGCGGTATTTTGGATAGTGGTGATGTTAGCTCGAGTGCTACTGCTAATGCTGCTGCTCACGCCGCTGTTTCTTCCTGTAACAATGCAATGAGGGAGAAAGTCGCGAACAATGGATTTTCCGAAGATGAAAGTTGGTTTGCATGCGCGCGCTTTTACGGTGTGCAGAAAGAGGGACAACAATATGCTGCTGTGCAGGTTTTGTCGAAAATCTGATTCTTTGTTGTTGAGCTTAGCATTGCTAATGTGTGACTATTTATCGGTGTAATGTTTTATTTCAGTTAGATAATTCACGACTTCGAAACGAAAAAACGAGGATGTAGTTTCATTCGATTTAGATAGTAACTGGAGCTATCGTTTCGTCATCTTGCTAATCTGATGCAAAAAATCGCTGAATATTTATGAACACTGCACTGGGTATTAGTGGGAAATTTGTAATTTTTTATGGCTCAATAGTACTTGTTCTCTCGTTTGATCGAAGCAAATTTTTTTAATGATCTGGAACGATCTACTTTCATAATCTAAATAATGTATCTTTCAATTACGAGAGAAATGCTAAGAACACTGACACCGCAAATTTAATACCTGGACAATTGTTAATTTCAATGTGGTTTCGATTTCTTAATACAAAAAAAACGGACTGTTGTTTTCAATATAATAATACCCATTTTGGTGTGTGAACGGAACTTAAGCGACGTACAAATTTAACTTTCATTATAAGCTTCAAATCAAGTTTATAACGCGCAACTATAACGTAAATCATGATTTTACAACCCAATTTAGGATCTCTAATTATTTTCTCGCGTTAGACTCATAAAAGTTAAAAATTCCCACGTTAATGCAACCAACATTCTATGCGCCAAGTGGAACATGGAATACAGTAATCAAGAAGACGTCGATGACAAGTACCTGGCGAGTCTCGCAGAGTTGCAGCCTCATCAAGAGAATCAATGCGGTCACGTGGTCTCTTGATGGAAGAAGAACGATGAACGAGTGCAATAGCATCAGTAGCCGTAGCGTGACAATCAACGACAGCAGTAGGAGCAACGGTAGGCGGTGAGTTTGGATTCAGTGGGATAGGTTCGCGCGACAGGTTCCTCGCGGTCACCGCAGCTGAAAGTCAAAAGAGAGAATTCAAAAAGCCTCACATACTTGTAACTTTAGTGGGTCGCAGTCCTCGAGCCAGCACGCACGCGGCTCGTCCTATCGTCATTGATCGATAAAGACTTTCTCTCTATCTTTCGCGTGTACGTGCAGCAGGGAAAGTGTGGAAACGACGCGATCAATATAAAAGCTCACCACGGAGCACTGCTTAATTTTGCATATATAAACCTGGTGCGGGGAAAAGTTGTCGATTGAACATTTTTCGCATCGACAATTTATCGGCGACATTGTGATCGTTGAAAAACTTGCGACAATATCAAAATTCCTCTAATGAAGGTAAAACAGAAGAGAAGCTACAAAGATTTATTTTGCAAAAGCATAACTGATGTACACATATATAGGTGTCTTTAATTATACAACGTATATTGCGAATTACATAAACGAACTCTAATTAGCGAAAGCCCAAGAAAACTCCAAACAACTCTTCCCACGCGAGATACTTTGCGCGCGCAATTTTTAGAATAGAAAAGCGAGGATCGCTGCGAGCAGAGTTTTACCGGGCAGCTTCTTTAGTGCACTTCGCACCACGCGTGCCATCGCTGAAAAAAGTCCATCGGATTTGTATGCACCACCAGCATTAACGACGCTATCGGCTTTGTTAATCCATTCGCGTTCTTGATCCATAACTGTCTGCTGATTGCATCGTGACGGTGGTGTGATACATTCGATGCAATCGCTCATCGTTATGAGAGTATCCTTGATCGATGCTCGACGACGACAGCCTTTCAAAGGTTTGGACATTGAACCATCGATTTGACGAGCATAGCTGGTAATCTCAGTGGTTAACTTAGCTACGGTGCCGCTGTTGCTCGAGCCTTGATTGCCTGTCAATGTGAAAATTTTATAACCAGATCGATTAATGGATTGCGAATCTTACCCTAAATTACTACAACTAAAAAAAAAGCATAGCTTCGGAAATGGGGCGAATCAAAGAATATCAACAAGAATGCTAAGATTTTGATTATACAATCTAATGCAAAAAAAAAGTATAATTTCTTCTTCAATTAGCGCAATGCAACAAAATCGTCGAGGAATCATAAAACTGATTTTAATCGAACAAAAATTATTTGGTTACAGATCCAATGCAAAATTCACATGTGATCATTAATCTTTTCAAGCTTTTTTTTAATTCCATACGTAAAAGCTCATTAGATGAATGTTGAAATTTAACGCTTGCCGGTAAAGCTGATTGTTTGTGTTTAAAAATAAATGACAAAAATTAGAACTACAATGCAATAAATACCATTGTCAGTCCTGGAATTATTGTTCAAATTGGCACTTTCCTCCAGCTTTTTCAAGCCAGAATCAATGAGAGGAGCAAGATCGACACTAGAAAATCCCTTGGCATTGTCAGTCTTTTCGACAAGCAGCATCATGAGAACTCTCGAAGAAGACGAGGTGGCCGAAGCATTGATTTTACTGTTGCTTACGCTGGTATCAGCGGCCACTCTCTCGACTTTGTTTTGCTCAAGCTGTTTAATAACTGGCGAATCTTTGGCAGCCTGCTCGTCATCGTCAAGGCTTTCACGAGCTTCAAAGAAGATATCGCTATCGCAAGCACTAGCATCCGACATCGTCGTAATTGTCGAAGTTGGCGTGTCGAACTGGTCGGAAAAGCGAACTCGTTTTTCAATAGAGTCGCGAGGAGTGCCGTGGCTGTCGTCGATGCGACTTAGCAGAGCAGACTTCAAGATACTCCGCTCCACTCGGTAATTCGAACCGGTACTCGGAGAATCGGCGTCTGAATTTTGTGCTTCTAGCTGTTTCTTCAAAATCGGGAACACGGGTGAAGTCCAAGTCGGTATATTCTGGTTGTCGCTGAAAAAAGCAGCATCAGCTCAGGTCAGTGCGTCGCGCTGCCGATAAATAACTACGATGGAACTGCCTACTCACCGGGCGTTGGTGGAATTGTTGCTGCCCTCGATAGCCGATCCGAGCGAAGGTCCATCAGTTTCGGCGGTGAAATATCTCGACTCGAAGACGGAAGCTGCTGAGCCCCAGGAACTACCGATGGTGTCGAAGGTTCTCTGTGATGACGGTGTTTTCAAATCGAATTCCGGAACGGAAGGCGGATGGCCGTGATATTTCTGCAAACCGACGACGCTCAAGTGCATAGGCGTGCTAGTGTGCCGCGCCAACTCCAGAGGAGAGTCAAAGTTCTCCGGGTTCTTGAGGTGCAAGGAGCCAGCGCTAGCCAGAGATTTCTCGCTGGCGTTCACTTCGATGTGGTATTGCGGTGTCAATAGCAGTTTCTTTTCCACTGGGATGATGTCGCTGTTGTTATTATTGTCGCATGGAAGATTGCTCACTGGACTTGCTGTTACCACCGGTGCTGCTACTTTTTTTATCGGGCCTCTGTCAAATAGTAACAATCGATTTATCGATTTCCTCAAATTTTAGACGATTCAAAGATGAAATCGTCAACAACGCCCAATCTAAACGAAGCATTCCCGTAGCAAACGCTTTAGTGGTAGCCTTTGATATTGCTATTGCTTCTCATCAATCAGTTTAGTTATTCATTGAACTAAATCATTCAAGACAATCGTCCTACAAGGTCGTAGGTTACTTTGAAATATTTTTTAATTTTTACGAAATTACTCTGAGGAAATTTAAAAAGTAACGAGTTCAAAGAATTGAACATACTTGCAAGGTTCAGCACTCTGAAAGGCTTGATTGCTGTCAAACGTATCGCCGCAAACCTTGCACCTCAGCGGCAGGTGATTGATAACCACATGACATACAAATTGAGCTCTACCCAAGTTATCGTCGATAGAATTGAGCCGAGGATCGTATGGAAGGTCGCACTTGAAGCATAACGGACACTTGGGTTTGGATGAATTGAGATCGGCGTGTTTGTTGCTCTCGTGGGCGTCACGACATTTCAAGCAGCAGAAAACTTTGCTGCAGAAGCGGCACCGATTGTTGCTGTTCTGTTAACAGCCAGATAACTTTTAATTCCATGAGAATTTGAGTTTCGTTGATTACTGAAAGAGCCTGTCAGCTCTTTTTTCTTCGCGATGGCTGTTATGATTTGAGGGCGCGCGAATGTTGGAATCAAAATAAACGTTGGCACAGAATAATGACTCTACTTTCGACAAGTGCAAGAAATCAATAGATATGATCATGGAAATATCGATACTAGAGAAAGCACACAGTTAGCAATCGAGACGCTATAAAAACACCCACAATTAGCACTCTTTCATTTCCATTGCATTGCTCCCTGTTAATCCCAAACGTCTAACGTATAATTTTCAAACTCGAACACTATTATCTCGTTAGGTTGGTTTCAGTGCACAGAATGCAAATGAAAAACGTTGAATTTACCTTACTTTTACAATCCATATGCAACGATAGAAAATATTAATACCTTCAAGGTCACCATCTTTTCGAATTTCCGAAACGATCAACTCTGGAATTCATTCAGGCTTCGATCACGCAACTGATACACTTAGCAGGTTGGAGATGTTTTTGTTCGATACGCATAACGCACGTGGTGTAAACACAAGCCTAGACGCAAAGAGAAATCAGTTGCTGACGTAGTACCAACTTACTGGAAACAAATTTTACCAATTTCTTGGTTAATTAGACGCCTATATGACACGAGTTATTCGGAAAGCGAGCGACTATACACTTGAAAACAAAGGTGACATAAGTGGCTTTGCATTTTAGTCTTCGCGATCAGTTAGACAAGGATGGAAAATCATTTTCCGTGGTTAAAGACTCTAAAGGATCTTGAAATTTAATGTTCCATAAAAAATACTTTATAATTTGATCAATGAAAACCTTAGTTTTAGTGTTAAAAACTAAATTATTCAAGAAATGTGGCTACAAAGCATCAGTATTGGAATCATTGAAGCAACAGATAGAAAATGTCCCTTGCCTTCTGTCAAGGAAGTCTAAATCTACAGTGAGTTACGTAAAAATTTACTAGGTTACTGAGACACATCCTTTCTTTAAATGATTCAATATTTTTAAGCATCAGAAAAATTGACCTTCCTATTCTCTCCTTGCCAAAAGATGAATAATCTGAATAGATCAGACAAGTGACCACACACACTCTTTTTACTTATTTGTTAATTTCTGGCTATATTAAAATATTTTTGATGAAAATAACTTGCATACAACAATTCCAGAATTATATTTTAGGAAATATCCTAAATAAAAGAATAAAACTTTATGAAGCTATGTAGGTAAAATGAAATAAGTGTGTGTTATTACAAATCCATTTTAACGTTTATATTCTTTTATATTTATATACAATTTGTCATGTTACATCCAAGTAATGTGTACACGGTGACCTGCACAGTTAGACACTTTATTAACAAAAAATTTCAATTACATTTGGTTACTAGTCTTTCGACTATTAACACATTATCTTAACATTACATGACATACTATTTCATTCACCCTTTTATTCTCATTACAATGCCACTCATGAATAAATGATGAATTTCAATATTTCAGAAAATATAGTGATTTTCGTTTTTCTCAATGCGTTCTACCTTTCCTTCTTTTGGAATGTACAATTTTTTTAATATTTATTATTTGTCTAGATAACTTATTTTCGACTATTTTGCGTAGTTTATGTACAATTTTTCAAAAACTATCACTTTCATAAAAACTTCAAAGCTTTACTTTTTTTTTCGTTTATCGTAATTGTATATGGAAATTTGTCTGAAAGTTCACTTTGAATTTACCACTCAAAGCATATTCGATTCATGTTTTGGTTTCTCTTTCTATTTTGTGCTTTTCTAAACACGAATACGTGCATTGAAAGAAGAAAAAGAAGAAACTGACGCGAGAAAATGGGTGGCTGGCTCATTACATTGGACGGCGACATATGTGTAACTGTGCATTGTTTGTTTTTTTCGTTTCTTTTGTGCACGATTTGAGTTTGTTTTATGTGAAAATCGTCATTTTCAATAGTCTACTCTTATGTTTCTTTAGCGATTTCGATTGGCTTATCTTCAATAAACCAATTTCCACAATAGTTGAATGTATATTGTTTTTATACTTTGGAAAAAATCACAGGCTTTGGTATAGATAATTGTTTTATCATGAATTTTCCTTATCCATTACAATTGTTTTACACTTTTACAATTACAGCTTGTTTATTTTTTATCTTTTCATTTTTAATCTCAGTAAAAAATGTTGATGTCTTTACATACAAGGATTTTATAATAGTGACCCTATTATTACATGAAAATGTTAATCTTTCATAAGATACATGGATGAATTATTTGACTTAATTACGTACTAATGTAGGCCATGGCATTTTATCTTACATAGTATTCATTAAAAAATTTGTAATCTATTTTCTTTATGAACCAATGAATTCTGAAAAAATTTTATTGGAAGAAATTTTACAATAATTTTGCAAAAATAACAAGAAACAATTTCTCAATCATCAAATTTTTATAATACAACGTTTAATATTTAAAATATAGTGTTATTATCGCATGTTTAATCGAAGCGCATTTAACTAATCAATTTTTTCTTTTGAGGAATAATAACATTGTATAATTTACTTTTTTTATGCACATTTATCAAAAGCTACTGTTCAATATCAAAATAATGCTCACATTAAATGCTTGTCTCTTAATGTGAAACATGCGAAAAAATCAAGTAGTCATTATCCAATCCATTTTGTAATTATGAATATAACATAATAGATTTCTACAAGCATTAAAGTAATCGATTTGATCAGTAAATAAAATATAAAATGAGCATGGAAGTTAAAAATAAACTTAATCAAGTAATTTAAGTGAGTTGGATAGCTTTCTTAAATCATCAGATTGCTATACAGTCATTTACAATCCTTTGCTATCAATGCTTTGTAAAGCGAGTACTTGATAATAAAAGACTCGTGTAGAATTACAGTCATTTCATGACCATGCTTTATGAGATATTTTTTTCTTATTAGACTCGTGCATAATCGATAAGAAAAATGATCAATTCCTCAATCATCGGCAGATATACAAACGCAGTCCATTATTACATTTTAAAAAATATCAATTAAAAATCTTCCGACTAGATAGAAATGTATGACAATAGCATTAAAATAATTTACATAGTTAACGGAATTTACTATCCTTTGGCGCGACCTTTCTTTATGTTATGTGCCAGGTACATTGGGTACATTGACGAAATATTACCTTTTTTAATATTCATTAAATAAAAGATAAGTGACATTTCAGTTTTGCGCCTCTCAGACTTTGCGCGTTAAAATTGGCTATAAGGAAGAACTTGAAAAATTACCTGTTTGTAAATGACTGAAGACTAGAATTGAGACTGGATCTCAAAAAATGTCAAATAAACACGAATGAAGTTTTTAGACAACTAACGATTTTATCGTTGCATGTTAAGTTTGTAAATTTAAATTTTAGCAAATTTTTCTCATAAAAAAAGAGAAAATTATAAAATAGAGCACTTTCCAGTTCGCCGACGCTTTCGACGATTTTTCTCAAGTTCAGCTGGTGGCTGATTTCTTATGATGCGAACAACCTAAATAAACGAAAAATCATTAATAAAAATTGTATATTATGAGAGCAATCATTCACGTACTCTTCTGGAATATGATGAAAGTACCTCGTGAAACGCAGCATCAACATTTAAAGGGGGATCTTTCGCTGAAGTTTCGATGTAAGGAATACCTAGTCGATGTGCTAACTCTCTACCTTGCTCCTCGGTGACTTTTCTCAAATGTACCAAGTCAACTTTGTTGGCAACCAAGAGCATCGGATATATATCTCGATCCTTGACTCGTAAGATTTGCGTATAAAAATTGACGATATTTTCGTAGGACTGCTTGTCTGTTACTGAGTATACTAATAGGAATCCATCACCCTTACGCATGTATTGTTCTCTCATAGCACTAAACTCCTCTTGACCTGCGGTGTCCAGTACTGGAAAAAAGCAATGACGTTGGACTTGTGTTATAAACTCGGAATATTTAGAATCGAGTTTTATTAAACGGAAAATAAAAATAAAAAATATGATATCTATCTTAATGCTTCATCGCGTACATCTTTCGAGTATAACGTAAATTTGTCTGGAATAAATTGTAGCGGGTATCTAAGCTATTATCAATTAAATTTGCCATAAATATGCATTTTACCATCTAAGATGCACCACTGTTTGTCAACCTCGGTGTGCTGGATGTAGCTGTCTTCGATGGTGGGATCGTAATCGGTGACAAACAGTTTCTGGAAGAACTGTATGGTGAGGGCACTCTTGCCGACACCACCATCACCGACGACAACCAATTTAAAGGTCATAAGGTTGTCATTGTTGGGTGGTCGAGTCATGCCGCCTCTGCTCCGGCTAGCGCCACTACTACCACTACTGCTACTGTTGTCGTTGGTGCCCGTGGTTGACACTTGGTTGTCTCAGTCTTTAAACAAAGACTGATCTACCTGGATGGTTGCTTAGCGCTTCACGCCCGCCAACAAGCTGAGCGTCTTATTAATCACTGTAATAGTTCTTTTATTAATCTACGTCTCAGAATTTCCGCAAACGTAATAGCCGTTAGTATCTAATTATTTATCATCGTAACATTATCGAGTGTACAAAAAATTTAAACTTTTTTCTAATCGAGTCTGCTTTCACTGTCTAGCTTGGTAATGTTCCTCAAAACTAGCATTAAGTTTAAATAGACTGATACTTTCCACGATAAGTGACGTACAACCCAAGTTTTCGGGCTTTAGAAAACTACAGCTTGCAGCAGCGCGAAGCAAAATAACAGATGTCAGCTTTACAACGGTCACTTAAAATAATACTCGAGTGGCAGCCGAGTAAGCAAACGACAACTGTAATTATTCAATAAATTCTAGAACACTCGGCGCTAATTATAGTGCTTCTAGCAAGCAACAATGCTTACTATCGAGCATCCCGGCAAGCGAAAGAGAACGTAAAATAAAAAAGAATTATCGACAAAATAATTATTCACAGAGCACCACATCTTCTTCACGCTCTTGCGCCGGCATCATTAAAAAACATAATGCGCAAAAGCTCTGTCCTGTAAAAATTTATCGTAGTGCTTTAGCATGCATACCATGCACAATGGCTATATAGAGAGTGAAGTGCACGAATCTGACGTCAGAACCCTTCGACTATTTTTACCATGTATAGACAAGCTCCTGCGCGTGCACTTGCCTTACATAGCGTTCGCATCGACGTGATATACATGCATGCATACAATGACGAATTTGCTTATCACCAGGAAAGAGAGAGAGAGAGAGAGAGAGAGAGAGAGAGAGAGAGAGAGAGAGAATGGCACTTGGCAGCGTCCAGAGAGTAAGAGAGGAAAAAAGGAAGTCTACGCTTAGCAACACACATCGATCTTCCGTCGTCTGCACTCAAGGCCAAAACAAACCTTCCTCCCATTGCCAGACGATAAACTTTTCAGGCAGTAGTTGCATGCGTAAATAGCGACAGAACTCAAAGTGCAAAGATAGACAATTATGTGAAATTTTAAGATAAACTTACATTTTCTTTATAACATAGTGTTCGTTACAAGAGCCACGAGCATTGCGTCGTTGTCGTTCGATAATGCGACAGTAGCAGTAGAGAGACAGGCAGATCTACCGCAACTCTCCAGGCGCCGCCGCCACCGCGCACACAGAAAATAACGTCGCTCTCGAGGGAGAAAACGCGTCAATCTCTCTTCTTCTTACAACTAACTACGTCGACGGTGGCGGCGTCGCGCCTCATTCGATCTCTCCCTTCTTATTCTTTCTTTGATTATTATTGGCTCTGGTGTCGACACGCTGAACTACGAGTCTGTATCCCATACGGCATACGGCCATCAACTGAATTCTACGACTGCGCGCTATATTACTGACTGGCGGTACTTCCACCAGGCTGCCTTCTACAGGCGTTATATAGGTAGTAGAGAGTAGTAGTAGAGTTGTAAATAAAGAAGAAACTAAGTAAAGAAAGGTTATTAAAGCTTCAGAATGGAAATTAAGAGTAGAGAGTCGGATCGACAAGGAAATGAAGAAAGATTATAGGAAGATGTTTAAGTCTTTTAGAAGTTTGCAGAACAGATTTATTATATGAGGATGTAGGTCGGAGAGGAATGAACTGATTTTATGTGGCGGGAACAATTTTCTTTTTTTAAGTCTGAATAGAAGAACTTTTCGTTGTATAACAAATCTTTCGCAGCTCCAAAATACATGGTTCAGGATTTCGACATCGCAGCCACACTAGCATAAGGGAGAGTCAACTAGTTTTTTCTGTGAAAACTATATGCCAAATTATAGTGATCACTTCTCATACAACTAAAAGTCATGGCCTGTATTCTGCAAAGGTGCATTTGAAAAAACCAAGGTTTTGATATTTCCTTGAAATAATTTCCGAAGTAGAAAACTCCTTTACCTCTATCAATATTGCGAAGGTATTTATTAAAGTGTTTTTTGCTTGAATCGGCGGGAAGTGAGAAGAGGATGTACCAACGCCGCAAGCTTTCTTGGCTAGTTCGTCGACCAACAATGCTTACTACCGAGATAACTTTGTGGCTAGGAATCCATGCAAGGATTACTTCTTGATCGTTTTGAATAAGTTCAAGGTACCTTAACTTGATTCTGAATACAGTGATGTGAGCCTCATTGTTCGAGAGAGCTTACAGCGAACTCAAGGAGTAGAATATATTCCAGAGTGATTTGAATAGCAAAGGCTTCGGCAGAGAAGATTGAAGCGTGAGGGAGAATTTTAAGCTACAGATTCAGTAAAGGCCTAGTCCTTTTTTGAGCCGTCCGTGAAAAAAGGCACATGTGAATCATGTAATTACAATATACCCCTAAAAATCTCCCTCTTTAAAGCTCCCATCGCAACTACTAGGGAATGCAACATTGGAGAATTGAGGAATTTTTAATGCGGATGTTTAAGGACGTTCTCTTGCTCAACGGTTGTCAAAGAGGGCTCCGCGCAACCGAAAAAGCGTTTCATTAGTTCAATTCGCTCACACTTTGACAGTTATAGATGAATTAAAGTGAAAAAATTTGAAAATACTCCTGTTAGCGTAAACTTTCTATTAGCCTTTTATAAAAATCGTTAAGTACTTTTTTTTTTATTTGTCAACATTTCAAGAATGCGTGTGTACAATTTTAAGTCTTAATATTGATTAGAAGTAATCATAGAAGTAATTTAGTGGAACAGCTTCGCGTCGAGGCATCAATATTTCAACACATTTTTGTTCATAGCATTCTTGAAAACACCGTTACCTATATTTTTAAATACATTTTTCGCTTCAGAACTAAACAAATTTTATTTTGTCAAAGTTTGACGATTTTTTAAAGAAGCGTTCCATATTTTTTTTCTAAAACACAATCGAAAAATTGGCTTTTTATGGAAAAGTGCATAGGGAACGAAGCTTTATAATCTTGTAACTCAAATAAACATAGAACGCTTCTTTGAAAAATCGTTAAACTTTGACAAAATAAAGTTTGTTTAGTTCTGAAGCGAAGAATGTATTTTAAAATATAGGTAACGGTGCTTTCATGAATGCTACGAATAAAAATGTGTTGAAATATTGATGCCTTGGCGTGAAGCTGTTCCTATAAATTACTTCTATGATTACTTCTAATCAATATTAAGACTTAAAATTGTATACATGCATTCTTAAGATGTTGACAAATAACGTAATATTGGAAAAAGTTCAATTCTCGAAAATTTGTAACAGACTTTCGATGATTCAAATTACTCATTTTATAACTTTCAACATTATTATTTTTTACTAACAAAAAAAGTACTTATCGATTTTTATAAAAGGCTAATAGAAAGTTTACACTAACAGAAGTATTTTCAAATTTTTTCACTTTAATTCATCTATAACTGTCAAAATACGAGCGAATTGAACGAATGCTTTTTCGGTTGCGCGGAGCCCTCTTTAACAACCGCTGAGCAAGAGAACGTCCTTAAAACTGTATTGGTGGCAGAACTGGAAATATCAGGTTCTTTCTACTTTCTGCTGCGTTTTCAGTTGTGGTCCATTGCAGATTTGGAGTTGCGTGACAGTACAGGTAGTATAATTTTTTCTTATTTAAAGTATTTTAGTGGAATGTTTATATTGGCCTTATAATAAAAGTAAAAAGTTATATCAGGCGGTAAAGACATATTATATAACAATAAACATTATGAGTAATAATAGACTTCGTCGTTTCGTAATGTTTATCAATTACAAATCTTATTCGTGCAATATAAAGTGCTCGCATTTAAAATCCTTGCATCAATTCATAGTTACAATGACTACAGAAATGTAAGTTAACACATATATAATGTAGTTGCAATCTCGCATTATGCTTGAAAGGGTGAGTGTGAGTATGTTCAAACACGTTTAGATGGTGACATGTGATAGGAAAAAATAAAAATGAGTCTTTTTCTTGACACCCGCAGCAGACCGGAGTAGACGTTATTTTCTAGTCGTGAATGCGACAGCCGCCTGTTTCGTCCATCTCTTTCTCTCAATGAATCATCTGGCCAACACAATGCAGTGTTGCCAGTTCATAAACGACAATAGAGTATTCGAGTCTCTATGCAACGACTTCCTCCGAACAAAGTATTCTTTATCTATCGCGCGTTTTCACAAGTTTTTCGTGTCGCTAACGTTCTGCATGGAGGTCTAAATTTTTCGGTATCGCGTAAACAAATAATAGATTTTAGCAGTGGCATCGCTGCCAATGTGCAAGAGAGCAATGCCTTGGCGCGAACGTGATCCAGTCGGCCGGTTATTGGTTGTGCGACACAAAGAAGCTGACGCTTTATACTTTTGTTTACACCAGATGCTACTGTCATAACAAGCGTACTTCTGCAGCTTCTCCCATCTAAATTTTTATTATTCGTCTGTGCGTGTGTTCAGTTGTATGCAGCTATACGAGCCACACAATATAGCGACTAAAGTGATAATTTTCTACGTGGTTGTACAATTGTAAAAAATAGGTGAAAATGGAGTATAAGGATCGTGAAAAAATTGATTACTTATGTGATGATCTGCTAAAAGATATTGACATAACTAGATTATGGCCAGAACTACTGAAAAATAAAGTTTATAATAGGGATGATGTAAATATTCCAAATTGGCAGGTAAAGCTCAGGTTCATTCAAAATTGAAGATTTTTGAGGTTACCATATTTGATAATTGAACACTGATTTTCTTTTTGTTACAGAAAAATCTGTCTAATCCAAATACTGTACGTGAAATTTGCTTTACTATAAAAACTAGAGGTCCGCATGCTTACAGAAATTTAATTAGAAGCTTACATGAGTCTAGCCATAAAATGATAGCTGACCTTCTGGAAAATTATGGTATTTCTAACAAAGTTTTCAGTACCAATAATAATGGGTCAGAAGTGACTGTAGAACCTGTAAATTCTAATGAACTAGAAAGTGAACTATCGAACAAAGTAAATAATCATAAAGACTTTGAGTAAGTTATACAAAAATTAAGTCTAGGCTTATAATAAAGCTTAAATAAAAATATTTATATTACTTTCTGCAACTTTAGGGAAAGCAATAATAAAATACTACACGAATATCCGGAAACCTTAGAAATCAAAGTCAGAAAATCAGTTGAATTCAGATGTGGTCCAGAAATTAAAGATATTGAACGATATCCTATGCAAAGCCATCCTCGAGGTCTAGTCTTAATCATAACTAATACTGAATTCGAACATCTTACCCATAGACCAAGTGCTACAAAAGATAAAGAAAATTTAACAAAACTTTTTGAAGAAATGGGTTTTTGTGTTCAAACGTTCGAAAACTTAACTGGCACAGTAAGCTAACTAATACTATTAAATAATATGGTATGCATATTAACAAATGACTTTTTACAGGATATAAAAACAAGAGTAAAACAGTTTTCAGAGAGACGAGATCTTTCTAAAGTAGATTCAGCATTTATCATAATATCATCACATGGTCATGGAGAGTGTGGAAAACAAGAAACTGAAATTCAAGGCACTGATTACAAAATGGAAGGATACGAAACTGTAATATGTTCAGATATTATGAATTATTTTACAGCAATTCGATGCCCTGCATTACAGAATAAGCCCAAAATATTTATTTTTCAAACATGCAGGTTTGTTTATAGAAATAAACATACAAGTATACTTATTAAAATAGTATACTTCTTATTTTTTATGTCTTTATTTACTTCTTTGTAGAGGTCTGGCTAAACAAAAATTAGTCCCAATGTTACGAAAAGAAATTGATAGAGAAACTACTGACGCCTCTTGTGAAGACACTTCTAAACCAACTGCCTTTCCATCTCGTAACTATCAAGATACATTGATTGCATATGCTACCATACCAGGTTATGTTTCATACCGCGACGGCAATTATGGAACTTGGTTCATACGAATACTTTGTGAAGTTTTTATGAATCATGCTTATGAAAAACATATAATAGACCTCTTTATAATGGTCAGTAGAAGAATGCTATCTTTGTTAAAAATTTCATTCTGTTATATATTCTATACAAATAATTCATTGTTTCAGATTGATGATAGATTAAAGGATCAAAGAACCAGTAATAATGAATGTCAAACATTATGCGTGATAAATCAGGGTTTCAATAAACATTGTTACATAAATCCTGGGCTATGAAAAAAAAACACGCCATTACCAGCTACACCTTAACCAAGTGCATTTATTTAAATAGGAACGAATATTTTTTGTACAAACATTTTTTATCCACATGTGATTGATTTTTATGATTATACTAGGACTTATATAGCAATAATTTAAACTAATTTAATAACTTTTTATGAGATTTAAGCATTTGAGTAAATGACTGAGTGAATTATTATTATAATTTATCTCTCGAATAAAACTGAAGGAAAAATTGTATTTAATGTAAGCATTGAGATTTTATACTTGCGGATGTATATTTATGTATATTGTGATAAGAAAACAACGATAAAATCAAGTTAGGAAAACTTTTACAAAGAAACTGCTTATCACCCTTATTAATTTATTTTACTAAAATGTCTAATAATAATAATAAAATATGGAAAAAATAAAGATAATGAATCATTTTTCTTCAATTTTAAGTGCATATAGTGTAAATATGGTCAAAGTTAAATTGTTAAAATAAAATGTGATAGAGAAGTAGTAAAAATCAAATGTATTGACGGTTGCAAAATTAATAATAGTGTTCGTTAAGAAAAGAATTCATTTTCATTTTGAAAAATATTGTGATCGATTCAAAAAAAAAGAAGTCGATGATGTGATCAGGTCTTAAAAGTTAGCACCCAACAATTGAAATATTGAACAAATCTATAAATTAATTGCACCATTCGATTGGGTAGCTTTTAATTAATCACATATTGTTTGTTCGTAGATTATGCTCATTTTCTTTATGTGAAAAATAAATAAAATTAATTATGGGTGCTGGCGCTAGCACCCAAATTTGATTCTCCAAATATAGTGGTTTATATCGTGAAAATAATTTTACAATATACCAATCGCTAGTGCGTCTCACGCATTATTGGCACCCAATATAAAATTATTAAAAAGTTTATCACTTAATTAATTAAAATAAAATAATCCTCTTGCGTATTTAAAAAGGTAATTATGACATTGTTTCGCGCATGCGCTTCGAATGGAACATTGTTGCTCAGTCGGAGACTCAATGCCATCTAGTAAACCGAAGTAAGCTAAATTCAACTGAAGCATATTGATTTAATTCAGCCATACTGAGATACAATAATTCAACTAAACTTTAAAACAAAACCAATCGTACAGTGTACAAATATATTTATTTACGTGAACATGAAAGAGTTACTATCAGACTAGTAATTAAATGTTCAAATTGAGTTCCAATTGAGTAATATATTTTTTATTTACTCAATTGAAAAATGTCCGAAGCTGATGAACACTGGACGAAAGGTGCACTCCGACTGAACTCGTGAACTGAATAACAATGATTCAGTTGAGTTTAATTTACTTCGGTTTACTAGATGGCATTGAGTCTCCGACTGAGCAACAATGTTCCATTCGAAGCGCATGCGCGAAACAATGTCATAATTACCTTTTTAAATACGCAAGAGGATTATTTTATTTTAATTAATTAAGTGATAAACTTTTTAATAATTTTATGTTGGGTGCCAATAATGCGTGAGACGCACTAGCGATTGGTATATTGTAAAATTATTTTCACGATATAAACCACTATATTTGGAGAATCAAATTTGGGTGCTAGCGCCAGCACCCATAATTAATTTTATTTATTTTTCACATAAAGAAAATGAGCATAATCTACGAACAAACAATATGTGATTAATTAAAAGCTACCCAATCGAATAGTGCAATTAGTTTATAGATTTGTTCAATATTTCAATTGTTGGGTGCTAACTTTTAAGACCTTCTAGCCACATATGCGCATACGCGTGCGTACAACGGCGTACAAACGCGTACAAATCGCTAAAAATTTTGATAGTGGCAACAACAGAAAGTTACTGCTATTCCTCGCATGCCCTAAACGAACACACTTACTCCCGGAACAAACGTATCATAACCTTCAATAATTAATTTAATTAATTAACTTTCTATTGTTGGCACTATCAAAATTTTTAGCGATTTGTATGCGTTTGTACGCGCTCGTACACGCGCGTATGCGCATATGTGGCGAGGGCCTTAATAAGTTTCTTTTGTCAATTAAATTTTGTGTAGTACTCTTTTGTAGTGTACTCTAGCTCTACGTAATTTGTGCTTCAGCCATATTATTGACACTTGTTGCTTATGACTAAAGTACGTATAAAGATCGTCGGCTTTTCGATTAGTTCAGAGATTATTTGATGAATTAATTACTTTCACAATTACTTTCACGTCTTATTGTTGCAAAGTCTGTTGTTCTGTTTGTATCACTTTATTTCAAAATAATACCATGTAAAGCTTATTTTATTTTTAGAAATTCAATTTTTCAGCATTTATGAATTGAATAATTTGTGATAAAAAAAATTATATCAGTGTTAGCAATTATTGTGTTTTATTAATTTTTAGATGCATTATTATATTTTTATTATACTTGTTAAAATATATTTATATATCAATATTTAAATATTATGCAGTTAGTGTCAAAATATGGAGGATAAAATATATTTCAGTAAAACTGTATATGAACATGTCATTAATAAATTCAACGAATTACAACTTAATGATATGATTGATTATCTACAACAAAATGTAAATAATAAAATTGCCAAAAATGAAGAAAAGAGATCTGAAGCACCATCATCATCTGAGAATTCTGACTGTGAATCTTTTGATACATCAGATGACTCATCAAGGTATTTAAATCTATACATTATAAGTTTTTGTGTAAAACGAGATAGATTAATATTTTTTCAATCAATTTTAGAGAAGATAATTTTTACACGAAATTATATGTTGTAAAAAAGCCTCTTGTAATAAATGTAAGAAAAGCAACTAAATTTGGAGTCAGTCATACAAAACTCATGGAAATTTATCCAATGCGTGGAAATCTTCGAGGTATAGTTTTAATTATTGCAAATAATTTATATAAAGATAAAGAAGATCAGCGTTCTGGTGCAAAATATGATGCTGAAAATTTGAAACAACTTTTTAAGGGTATGGGTTTTATGGTTATATATCATGAAGATTTAAGTGGAAAGGTAAATGATTGTTTTCATTATTAATAGAACAATGTCATGCATGAAAATACTATGAAAACTTGACTGTAAAATTTTAGGACATAGATGAGAAGGTTTATGAATTTTCTAAAATGACTGAGCTTAGGAAAGCAGATTCTGCATTTATTATCATTTCTTCCCATGGTAATGGCAAAATTGGTGTACAAGAAACTGAAATACTTGGAGTTGATTACAATAGCCCTGAATACAATAAAGTTGTTTCTACTAAAATTATAAATTATTTCACTGCCAATAACTGCCACGACCTTAAGAACAAGCCAAAGGTTTTTATTTTTCAAACATGCAGGTGATTTGTAATTTTAAATGTGATTGATTCAGTTTTGTAATCACTAGTTGATGATTTTTTATTTTATATTTTTAGAGGGGAGAATAAACAGGTTGAAGTTTCAAGATACAGAGCAGATTCAGCAGTAAATTCATCTAAACCTAGTATTGATGAACAACATTTTTCTAATAATTTAAGAGATCATCAAGATATGTTAATTGTTTATTCAACATTACCAGGATTCGTGTCATTTCGAGATCATTTTAATGGCAGTTGGTTTATACAAGTTTTATGCGAAGTTTTCATGAATCATGCCTATAAATATCACATACTAGATTTATTTTCAATGGCATGTAAAAATATTTATTCAGATATCTTGTTTTTAATGTTATAGTTATCGGATGTAGTATTTATCGAAAAATTCCGTTTTGCAGATTGATTATCGTCTCAAAAATATGCGAACGTCTTCAGGTGATTGTCAAACTCCCTCCATAACCATACATGGATTTAAGAATTGTTTTTTAAATCCTGGTCTTTTTCCAAATAATCAAATGAATGGGAATACAAAAACTAATCCGAATAAAAGAGCTAATATTATGTTTAAATGCTGCCCTGACAAAAAAGCAAACATTGGTGTTTGCTTCCAGTGTGAATCAATCTATCATTATAAATGTGCCAAACAACTTAACCACGTTCAATTTATAGGTAAAGTGAAAGTCAATAGTTGTTGTTTTGCAAATAGCCAAAACAGTAGTGATAAGTTAGATAATAAATCGTTGAGCGAGAATGTTGAACACAAAAACATATTATTTGACTTGAAAAAAGAAAACAATCATTTGGAAGAGCAAATAAAATCCCTACAGATGCAACATGTTCCAATGATCTCTAATGAAGTAGAACTGAAAGAGACTAAGGAATGAAAATCCGATTACGGAAATTAATCTCTTGAGACAATTGGTTGATGAAATTAGTAGACCTAATGATTTACGTAAGGAGAAAAATGAAATGTTAACTAAGAAAGTGAATAAAAGAAATTCTTGTTTCAAACAAAAATTAGGTAAAGTTCTAAAACGCAGAAGACAGTGACCCTTGAACACTGTTGAACCAGAGGAAATTTAGATTTTAAGATATTATAAAATATACATATTCGTGCAATTTTCAGATCGCTATTCGTAATATAAATATTACTATATATAATATTCATTGAAATACACTTAAAAATGGAATTATCTCGGAGTTATCATATCTGAATATTATATTTTATTTTCTAAATATTGCATTTATATGAACATTATAATTTTACATATTCACTGTAGAAAGTCTTTTTTTCTAGTGAAGTTATACTTTTGTTAAATCTGGAAAATTAAAACAAAATAGTTGTCTTGCTTTTTTACAACGGGAATTGCCTTTCTTGCAACATGAATGTTAATTTTAATTTTCCAGATTAATTCAATATATAATGAGGAAGTGTTTTCTATAAATACTTGAATGATTCTGCATTTATGTAAACATTTTATATCAAATGTAAATGACGACTTACCATACGTCAACTATGTCTTTAAATAAACGAACGAATGATTTTTCGCTTTCGAAAATAAATTGTAAATTCGAATGTATTATAATTTTGTCAATTATCTGAAGATTTACATAAGTACCATGAATAAAACATGAAATGTATATCATATGACTGTTTTATATATTTTCAAATATTATTATTTAAATGAAATTAAAAGTAATTTTGTGCACTTTTTCAACGACTTATTTTGATCAATTCCGATATCAGTGAAAAATTTATTTTTGTGAAAATCCTTTATATTTTCTAATAAAATTTGATACTTAATTTTGTACATGAACCATTGGTATAATTTCTGAACATCTGGAAGAAGGTAAATGAGTTATTTTAAATTAAATAACAAAAACTATTATTGGTCACTTTCTTTTATTTTAAAAAAGTTGACGATTAAGTCTGTTATGAATAATAATAAAGCATTCTTCGAATATTTTAACTTTAAAGAAATTTATGGTGCAATGCATATTTTTAAAAGTAAAAGTACTTATGACAAATACAAAAAAAGATAAAACGATATTTTAATGACAACACTCACCTACACTTTTCCATACAGTTTATCCGTTTAAAGCAATTCTACCAAATATATAAATCAATGCTTTAACTGATAACAAATATTCATCACTCTACGATTTTATACCCAGCAGATTTTATACTTTGCACGTATTTGTTATAAAGTGCATCGTCATATAAAAATTTAACGACTCGAAAGTTTCCTTATCGTCGTTTTTCAAACTGTCTAGAAAGGAGTACCGAGTATTATTTCATTTGACAATACTATGTACATAAAAAAAAGAATGCGTGATTGCGCTGAGAGTGTTCCATTTGGAAAAAAAAATCGTGCTAGAACCATTAATATGTGTAACCATTGTAATGTAATAATTTAAGTAAAGTACGATTCTCAACAATAATTGAGAATCTTGCAGCGCAAATCTCGGCACTTCATTTTCATCGACATTGATTATGTTTTTGGAAATATTTATTATTAAAGTCCAGTGTGCTTAAGCACATAAATATTAAAATTAATTGTTTAATACAAAGATTCAGCATTTGATGAACGCGGCTTCTTGATTTTCTCTAAGTTTTTGATAACAAGATCGTGCAGTGAACAGTAGCGATTACGAATTTCGCACATTATTAGCCATAAGCTTATATATTCTTTCTCATCAAGTTCTTGCACAGCTCGCCTATAATCTGTAATGTGAGGATACTTGGCAACTTTGCTGACAATCTTTGCTCTGGAGATGAAGTACCTAAAAATATTTGTTATTAATGAGAACTCGTACTTATTAAAATTCATAAATTAGTAATTCAAATTATGAATTACCTTGAAATTTGATCAAAAAATGATCCAGATTCACTTTCAACAGCTTGTACTTCCGCTAAAGTATCTTCTTGTATAGAAACTCCAAAATTGTTTCCATCCTCTATTTTAGGAATCATGAATGAAATCCACATTTTCAACTTAAAAAATAACATTATAATCATCAAATAAACTTTTCACATATCAGTGTACGATACAATTAATAATAATGATTACATAATCACAAAATAATAGTGATTACAAATTACTTAATCATTCAAATACTTACAAGATTTGAGTCCTCTAAAAGTTGTCTAATATGAGGCTTCACTATATGCAGTAAATCACAAAGTTGTTTATTGCATGGCACTGGACCATTTGGCAGAATCATAACTTTGGTTCCAGTAGGCACATCGTCGAGACTATTTTCCACTCTTGGTCTCTTGGGATTCGGTCCATCATTGGAATGGTTGAGTAAAATGGGTTCTGGAATTGGTATATTTAAGTCTTGATGGACATCTTTTAGATCTCTGTTATGGAAACCTAGCGTTTCAAGAATCTCATTGAGCTTGACAATTTTTTCTGGAAACCCTTTGATAATTAACTGCTCTGCCTGCACAGTATATTTTTTTTATATACAATCATTGCCATATTTACATAAATATTGATATTTGAAAATAGCTATTACCTTTGTTTTTAAAGAATCCTTGTACTCTTGGACCTGGAAAATGAACTTAAATAACAAATGGTTTGAGAAATTTTAGAAAGAGTCTTAATATTGTTGAACCTATCTGAAAAGTTTTTACAAACTATCTAAAGAAGTAATTGATATATTAGAACGTTATTAACTTTTGTTAAAATAAATAAATGAAGATAATTGTAGCTCAAATAATGCACATAAACTTTCATTTTTTAATAACGAACGTAACTACAGTCCCTTGACTAGAGTTACTTGATGAATAATTTTCTTTAAATTTTTTAAAACCACATAAATTTTTCGGGCTCATTGAAGCCATAGTTTCTTAATTTTTCAGGATATTGAAGGGAGACCATCGAGCGAAAGGTCGATGTCTTTCTATCCGCGTTGTATATTGGGGTTATATATTGGGTCATCATATGTTAAATTCACTTTCGATAAAAATCATTTATCGACTCACGTAATTACGGGATTTTAGTCACGTAATTACGGTAATCTTGATATAAATAATTACGTCGTTTAATTTTATCAAATAAATGTCTACTAGAAAGCACATGTTTCATTCATATATATAGTTATTAGTGTAGTAAGGATCAGAATATGCAATTTTATCAGAAAATGACATGTGACAGATCATAAAAGCTTATAAATTTCGAAATACTTTTTACGTTTTCGTTAAAGCAAAGTTGTGAAAGATACTTAAATTCAAGGATCTTGGAGTTGTAACCTCTGAACTTTTTAGAACGCAGATCTCATTCGACATGACGAGTAAACTAAGCAATGCTCAACCAAAATTTTACATGCACACTAATAAAAATTATCGACACTACATCACGATAAACAGAAATAGAAGATAAATTCAAAACTCGAATAAATTTTCCGCCAAATAAAAAGTACAGATAAATGAAACAGAGGCTTGCTTAACCTCTAAAATGTCCTTCGATTCACTCGGCAAAGAAAAATTGACATACCGCATTTTGAGTTGGCTGTTCGATATCAAATACACGATGTCAGTATTCGTGGTCTTCTCTTCGTTGCTAATTTTATCAATAGTAACGATAATCAAGCTTGAAAACTCACCTTTGTATTCTCGCTTTCCATCGTTATAGTTAAGGGTGACTGCCGCGTATAGTACGATATACAAGGATACAAGCACAAGAAAAAACTCGGTTTATAACCTGCACGCACTCACAGTGTGTCTGGTAAGTTTGCCCTTCCCTATAGTGTATGCGCGCTTGTTGATCTATCCTTTTCTATCTATACCCCTCGCGGAGAAAGTGTGCGATTGCTTTCTAGGGCTAATAAGGCTCTTGTACTAATACAAATAGAAGTGCTTTCGCGCCTCTCGACTTCCTACAAATCAGCGTGGATTTTTTGAAAAATAAGTACTGACCACGTGGGCATGAGCCAAGCTTTCGACATGCTTGACTTTTGCCAGGAAGTCGTCGATGAACATATTTTTATCACAACTTGTTTTCAGTTTCTTCGGAGCTTTCGAGGTTCTTCCACAGGCAAGCTTGTAAATTGAATTCGCATCAACAATGCCTCAATATTGTTAACGCTTGAACGTGTTTTCACGAGCCATTTTCATATGTGTTAATTTGACAGGAAGTCGCACTAGTTTCTTTTACTTTTATTCAAATTGGCGGGAAATTCCATTCAAAAATTTATTGATTTTGATCGATAAATTAATTTTACTCATTTCTCTAGAAATATACTAGATCTCACATCATTTTGTGAATACTAAAATTTACCAAGTTTTATAAAATATGATATTTTTAATTATTTATAATGCATTAGAAATACATTATCATTTTATTGATGTTTTTTCAATCAGTTATATTTATAATGAATAGATACTGAAATATACATAGTATGTCTTATAATAAATTGTTTATTGCGTTTGTTTGAAGTTAATTTTAGAATGGTTTGATGAAGTAGTATTATAATGAAAACAAAAGTTTCCGAAATTGATTTGCTCGATTAATACTATAACAGTAAATCGAAGCCACTTTGTAGTATCATGAAGGTGTTAAAACTCATATGAAGTGTTGTCTGACCATATCAAGCGTTATCTACTTACGGAACCTTGCTACTTGTTGCTTCCACTGTTGTGTAAGATGTTGAATAGAGTATGAACAAATTGTTGAAATATCTTTGGAAAAACTGTAAATTTAGCGTCAAGCCTTAGCTGACAGACTAGGATCGTTCGCGACAATGATTCAAACAGTAAGCAAGTAATTTGTTCAAGTTTTTTGTAAATAATATATTTTTTGAAGACATTAAATTGAAAAGTGCTTGCAAGTGACTGAAGTGAAAAACGTGCCATTGTGGTAGCTAGGGTTGACGCAGCTAAGGGTTAAAAAGCGGCCACGATGCAGTGGACATTCTGGACATTCCGAAAGAAAGCATCATTACCGACGGATATATGAAGGTTTCTTCCTCGGAGCATAATTGGAGCTTTTGAATATTGCTCCGAAATATAGCGTCCAAAATAAGGCCCCAACGGTCACTCGAATGCATTAAATTAGAGCGCAGTGGACTCGATCGAATGGACAAAGTTGTCAATAGCGACGAATAAGCGAAGCAGGCAGGCAGCTTTTAGCATTTGTTAGTGGCAATGACTGGCAGCGTGGCAAACTCGTGCAATTGGAAGAAGCATCGAGAGCGTCTAGGAGCTTAATTCAATTGTATCGTCTGTCCAATGGAGGCTCGTTAAATTTTTTGCCGAAGAGAAAGACGAGCACGAAGAAAGTAGCCTCGCACGATAGTTGATGCCCACGAGCGCGCGCCGCGAGGATGAGCAAACGGAAATGCTCATGAACGCCATGAATAAGTGACGTTCCCATTGTGCTTAATACTTCAATTGCATTGATGCACTTAAAGAACTGTCTTGAATACGTACGCAGCGTCGTGCGCGAGTGCGCGAGTGCGCGAATGGAGGTCTCTGGCCTTAAAATTACGCAAATTGTTATCGATTTATGAGTCAGTTTTACGACGACGGGGAGGCGAATGTGCTCTCCGCCTTTATTAAAAATAATAAACAGCCTTGCGAGCTACGCGAGCGCTCGTCGGAAAGAGCCGCAGAGTATATTCAAATTAACGTGGTATTTATTTGCTCAACACTATTTCAACAACGGTGCATAACGACCGTTTATAAGTCCTAGCTAGAAGCGCACTTATGGCAATCCCGCCAGTCCAACTCTTTATTATTTCTCATTTCATACGGGCGCCGTAAACATATACATATTTTCTCGTGCAATATCATTTCCTTGGCGGCCTGGCCGCGCGAGTACGCTTCCACGGCACAACTATCCGAGGAATGCGGGGATTACGTAAATCACAAAATTAATAGTATCAATTTTTTTTACGCAGAAGTCGCGCCGACGAATAACACTTTCTCAACCGTCATCATGCTGCAGTGGTTACTACCGGCCGAGCTGGTCCTCCACAAATGCTGGCTCTCTTGTCGGGGCTACGTCTACGATCTTGCCGGCTATATCGACAAGTGCGATCGCGAGAATGTCATTTGCATGTACTTGCTGGCCCATGCAGGCAAAGACGTCAGCTACTGGTTCGACGCTTCGGTTAGCGCGCCGTTTTCCTTTCGATCCCACCATTTTATTTTTATCATTTTACCGCTGCCTGCACTTTATTACGGTTACAATCGGCGCTTACCAAATAGCTAAAGAGCTACGCGCCTACACAATTTCATACGAATTTTCTAATTCAGTCGAAAGCTTACAGTTTGCCCATCTCTTGGAAAAGGTTTTGCGTAACACCTCGGAAAAATAGGAACATGGAGCTCGAAAACAAAGACAGAGCTTGTTTCTGCATCTTCCGATGGCCATCGGATTATCCAATCAGTCGGGCCAAGCTCAGCCGGTCACGCGCAAAGGCGTCGGGCGTTAAAGCGTGACCTTTTGCCGCAGGGCCGTCACGGTGGTCGGCTGCGATTGAGACGTTACGTCGAGCCAGCGACGGGTCAACGGCGCATCCTCCTTCCGTATGCCTTCCCAATACCCGAGGGAGCCGAATCGACCTACGCTTCTGCCGCGCTCGGCTGCTGTTCCTGCCGCGGTGCCGACGATAGCCAGCTTGACGATGGTGAGGAATTTTCGCTCGCGTGCCTACTTTCGAGAGTGCGTTTCGCATTTGGGCATTTTTCTCGTTCTCTCCGAGTGGCTAATTTTCGGCTGACTAGAAACGACGTCGTTACACCTTTCGTGCGCGTGCCACTCGATTAACTTAACAACGGCTCCGCGTGCCGTTACATTTTTATCCAGAATTCAGGCACACGCTACTCTGCCATACGACAATGAAATTCTGGCGAACCAGCCCGTATCGTAGTTTTCGAAGGAGAATAAGCTTTGACGACGAAATGATCACGGATACGGCGGCTGTAGCTGCGCTCTATACGCTACGAGGATTAACGCGATAATCGGCAAAGCGCAGGGCCATTAAGGCATTATTTTCTCATCAGTCGGAAGAGTAAAAAAAGCTGAGACTGTATGCGAGAGTTGCGCGCGGTTAACGGTGCAGTGACAATTAAACCCCGTTAACTCCTCGTCTATTTCTCGACAAGCCACCACGAAAAACACTCTCGAAAAGCCACGAAAACGCGTTGAGAGAGACGGAAAAAACTTGCGATTACAACTGATTGTCTTTGACTGGTCACTGTCAAAGACCCCGCGCGGTTAACGGGAAAGTGCTGGTCGGACCTTGAACGCATCTTCAATGGCACCAAGTGTCGCGTTGGACGACTCACCCGAAATGCCAGACCTTGCAAGATTACCAATGTGCTGACGGGACAACAAGTTGTTATATCGGTACTTATATCTTTTTAGATTACACAACCACAACGCTTACTTTACTCCTTTGATATATGTCGCTTATACCTCACGTTGACTTTTCTATGCCTCATATTATAAAAATATTTATTAAACTTATGTAATTAGCTGCCTATTAGATGTAGCAACACATAACAGTTATCTAAACTATACCATCAGACATGGAATGTACTTTATATTTTCAAAGAGAAAATGTATTTAATATGAGAATGTTTCTTTAGAAACTATTCAAAATTCATGACGTCAAACGACTCTGAGAGATAAGTTAAAAATTTGAAAGTATATTGATTAAAATCAGACACACTTATTTTTTGCTTTCAATGTCAAAACTGACACCTATAATGCATCATATTCAACAATTTTGACGAATTAAAATTACTTGCCGTTAATGACTGATCGATAGAGAATGGTATATATTAATTATATAATTCCTGAAATGTTTGCGTGGCACAAGTTTGAAACGATGTTTATTATTATTGATTCGCATACATTTAGGTTTGCGAAGAAGACACAATAAATCGTATTCGAGATCGCGCAATGCTGTTCAATAGACACGGTGCCTCGTACACATGGAAATTCGAAGGGAAGAAACTGAATCCTGAACTCACGTTGACGGACAATGGAATTCCCGATGAGCGGGAGGTATTCCTGAAGTGTGGGCTTCCCGAAATTTACACTCCTAATTTGCTTTGTTATTATAACGATGATTTGACGGAGGATCAAGAAGATAGGGAAGACTGAAGCTGGTGTTTGTTTACATGACATTTTACAACCTTGTCTGAAAACAATTACACATCTTCTTATTGATTTAAAAATTAGCAATGAAATTGTTTGCCTATAAAGAATTTTGTAACTATCTCGTTGACTTTTTGTAGCGTCTTAGTGAGTTTAAGGACTATTCATTCTCATGCTAATAATATTTGTAGATTACCTGCGCATGAAAGGTAAGGCCTCCTGCGGCTTCATCTTTGCGTATCTCGACGTAAGCAGTCCCATCATCTCTGACCTTGATGGCCTTGCCGATGCACTTGCCTCCAACTTTTCGACCGGAAATCACGTCCCAGTAGTAGCCTAACGTCAGATCCATTTGCAGCGTCTGTTTTAAATCAACGCCGTACTGCCCATTGAATGCCACGAATCAGACTTTGCCTCGCTGGAATACTGAATTTGGATAATTTATCAAGATTTTAATCAAAATAGCATTTTAATGCATAATCGTTATTTTCGATAAAGTTTGATTTTGGAAACCTTAAATTTTCCAAGTTGCTCAACTCTTACTCAAGTTATTTATTGATCCTTAAATGGAGTTCGGGTAAAAAGGCAATCGATACTCGATTTTCAAAACAATTAAAATTAAAAAATTTTCAAATTCTTTTATAAAATTATAAAATATGTAATAATGCAACAGAAATCGTGATAAGTAATCAATATTAAATATCAAAAAATTAATATTGAGAAAGCTCAATTTTAATTTCATTAAAAAATCTTGCTCAACTTATCAATTTGGTTCGCCCCATTGGTTCACCAGTTTGCAAACGGAACGCGTCCTGTACACAATATTTAGAAAGTCAACCATGCTGTAAATTTATGATCATCGATATTCGCACATCTAAGCGTGCTTACAGTCGTTAACCTCAGCACCATTGGCAAATCCGTCGCTGATCGGACCTGGTGATACGATATTTCCATTCTCGTCAGTTGAAGGGCCTTGCGACCGGTCAGAAAAGTCAAATGAATTAATTAACTCATGAGTTGCGGATGACCGTGAGGTTGAGCCAACGTAAATGCTACTACCGTCTAACAAAATGTATTCGTTGAATGATTTTCAATTGCATGCCAATATACAGAGCATAAATCTTAGCTTATAACATCCGAGTACCTTGTAGTTGAGAATAAATCTGCTGCCAGCAGCATGGCCTCTCCGGCTATCACGATCACCAATCATTAATGCCTAGATAATCGCGCTTAAGTCGTCGCTTTAAACTTTGTATGGGATCCGAACCTCGATAAACTTTCCCAACTTCTTTACAAAAATCAAAGTCGACAACGGCGCACAAGTAGACGCACTTAACCATCTTGATACTTTTGCTGCCACCCCACTCGATCACTTCACGATAGATAAAGGCCGCTTATTCTCGCCAAAGACGTACGTGCAAAAAATATTCAAGCGGCTGCAAAAGACCTCTAGGTCATGAGGCCATATTTGCTTGGCCGCGTCGACTCTGCAAACAGACGTTTCTTTTAAAAACTAAAGTGATTTTGCTTATTTAGGTAAGCGAAGTTGTGATGGCTTTACCTGAAACCAGTGACGCCAAGGTCAATGGCAGGATTGAAAAATTCAACGAGTTTATTTCTAACGTGCTCCCTGTCTTGATCGAGATTGTACATACTCTATCAAGTCACGATTGCTCATTTGCGCACTGAATCGATCTAATTCTTGGCACTGTAACCATGATTGAAATTTTCGAGCCCGTATGGTACAGCCGATGATAGATTCACCAGTACCGATTGCAACTGTCTCGGACATCGCTAGTCAAGTGATTAACACTTGCGCCAACGTAAATCCCTATACACCTACTAAATTGCAACGAGCGACCGTATTTTTGAAATGGTTCTAGTCATCCGAGTGGCCAATGATTTTGTATGAATTGGACTAGTAAGGTTCGAACCACGGCTGATTTTTTATTATCACATTCTCGTTAATAGAAGAAAACTTTCAATTTCATATTGAAATATGTGTATAGAAAAATCATGAGAAATATTTTTAAGAAAAAAACAACTTGGTTGTGCAGCACCGTATATCCCGTCGGTCCTAAAAACCGTTGGCACTCATCAGCGATGTCTTTGAACTTCCACTTGAACAGATGGACCATGGTGGTACGATTATCAACATAATGCGGATCCTTGTAAGCAGCGGAGTCGTAGCCAAGCACTTGGTGCGTGAAGGCAATAACGAGTATACTCAGAAGTAACTTGGACATACTTGACTAAATAAGAGTTAAACGCACGTCGCTACCTCGTTTTATAGTTGAGCGAAATGCGCGAACTATTCTCTAGATGGATATTTTTGAAAGAGTATTTTTGAAAGAGTTGTCATGTGCTCGAAAGAACGTTGAATTATGAAAGGTTGAGTTATACAATTTTCGCTATTTGCGATGAATTGAGACAAGATAAAATTAATCAATGTTCAAGTGCAAAGCAGGTGTTGCAATTACTCGTTGACGTGGGGTATTGGTCGATCTGGAAATCACATTGCCGTGAAGTATGGTATCGGCAAGAATGTGTATTTTCGTCAACTTTTATTGTCTGAGAAAAGAAGAGAAGCAAGATCAACATAATACAAGTCTGTAGATCGAAAGATATAACTTAGAAAAGTGTAGCTCGCCGTTGAGTCGATCATGAAGCGCGTCACACGTATGAAAATTGAAGGGAAAGCCTATTGAATCGGCGAGCTGGCAGTGGTGCGCGCGCGGAAAAGTCGACGAACGGCGATAAGTATCTGGATTGGTGTGGGGTTTCCCCGGGTGTGTGTAATATAAGTTCCCGCAGGCTGCTTTGTTACAAGTATACAACCCGAGGATGTTGGCGAAGAGAATAAAAAGCTTCTCTGGCACTTTCACTCTCTCTCTCTCTCTCTCTCTCCGCATCTCCCTCTCCCGCATCAATTTATATTTATTCCGCCTTGTCTTTTTCACATAGGCCACGGCTTGTACAGAGTAATAAAGTAATCAGCGAGTACAGAAGCGGATTGTTCTCTCCTTCGCGTTGCTTGCCGCCGCGCACACGCTCGCAGCTTTGTTTGAAAATTAATATACCGCAGCTAATGAAGCTACCTGATAATTTGCGAGATTCTTGTTGTGCGCTGCGGCTCCAGCAGACTCAACTGATTATCCTACTTTTGCTCTTCACTCTCGTACTTATCGTCTTTTGGTTTACACCCGAGTATTTTTATTGGACGATCATCCACTTTCCCACGTTATTAATGAAATTCCTCGAGAAAAAGCCAGGAATTTGACTTCATGTGCGAGCGTTTTCACAGCTTTCAAATGCTTTGCATTGTTTCAAATTTCATGCGTTTACGGTGTTTCATGTTTTAACTGGCTTGTTTTTACAATTCATTATAGTATTATTATAACACACATTTTCTGCTTTCATTTAAGAGACCATTGAAAATGCTCAAAACAATTTAAGCGAACCTCTTTTAAGATAGGGACAGCGACTTCGGTACGCCTGCCATTCGTTTCATGTCAAATTCAATTAACCGTGTTGAATTCTACATTTAATTAGAAACATGGAAAAATATTATTTGTACATAAATAAAATGATAAAAAAGCAATAAGAAATAATAAGCACGAGCAGTCCTGATATTTACTGTAATTATACCAGCGCACATGACGTTTCTATTATCGCAATGATCCAAGAAATATGAAACGCATCTGTCGAATGGAAAAAAAAGAAACCAGTCCGCTTCGATTTTTAATGCGTTGAGCAAGTTTGGCATCGGAAAAAAGAGGTCGAACACAGATTTTTGAGATTGGAAAGGAGTTCACTCTCAGCTGGCAGGCGAAGAAATGCATAAACTTGTAGGTACTATATGTTTGCATTATGAAACTTGCGTGAAAAATGCAGGCCTATTAACATGTTCATGTTTCTTACTATTATGTAAATACGTCGGGCTTTTAGATTATAAATTTGTCTAATTTCGAGTGATACCTTGGATATTCTATTTACGAAAATTTTCCCAATTATGTTGACTACGTTAACCATAGTCGATATTGAAAAATTATGAAAAATTATGCAGCTCCAAATTGCCTTTGTTATACGGCTTGAAAAGAAAATTGTTTGTCTAACTTAGCAATAAACCTGTCCCCAAGATATTGCTTTCATGGCAAATTAAAATTAATCATTCGGCTGATGTAAGCCAAATTATTTTCACGATGTGATGAAAATAATAATAAAATACTTAAATTCTGTAAGTAAATGTTTTACCGAGCATTTCAGTCACTTCCAAAAGTGTTAAAATAACTAGCTATTATTTGACCACCGGAAATATTATTTTAAATAGTTAATGAGATGATGGTGACACGAAAAGAAGGGAAAAGTTATTCAGAATGTATTCAAAATATCAACTTTGGATGTTTATTTTGATTATCTGAATAATTGTTCGCATTTGTTTTGATTTTAACGTAATACTTTATTAACATTGCTAATTGTTCTACTAATAACGCCATAATTACCAAATATTTTATAAAAGTAAAAGCCGATTTAGGTTCCAAAATAATTGAAACAAGTAAGAGTTTAGAGCCGCAAGTAAAATACGGAAATGTACACGATATATTTACACTTTCCGTGCCATGAAAAGTCTTGAATAAGCCAAGTTCACGCTCACTTATCTGGAGCGCGGGCGGCAAAACAACCACGACGACTTGGTAGTGAGAAGATGGAAGAATAAAGCTGAGTACTTTCACTCACTCTCTCTCTCTCTCTCTCTCTCTCTCTCTCTCTCTCTTGGCTCTCTCGCATCAATTTATATTTATTCCGTCTTGTCTTTTCACTGCGCGGCTTAATACAGTGTAATAAAGTAATCAGTGAAGTCGTCGGTGGAGTGGCGAATCGTTGCTCCTATCCGTCTGGCTTTCGTCGCGGTCGCAGCTCTCAAAGCTTTGTCTGAAAATTAATAGGTTGGCTCGTTAATGAAGCTACCTGATAATTTGCCGAGCACTGTGGTTATGCCACTCTTACTTATGCCACCCTCGCAACAACAGCCGCGCATGCCGCACTTTTAGTTTCCGCGAAGCATAAGTTTAGCGTTCTTGATTTTTTTGTCGTTGTCATTATTTGAATTTCGCGCTTTCCCACAGATGCGTGCCTGCGTACGCTGCGTGCGAGTCTATTAAAATTCCATCAAGTACACACAATGCATACCTGAGTGTAGAAGGCGAGTACACCGTCGGCTTCGTCTTTAAGTACCTCGACGTAGGCGGTGCCGTCATCCTTGACCCTGACGCTCTTGCCAGTGCACTTGCCTCCGACTTTCCGACCGGAAATGACGTCGCAGTAATCGCCCGGCTCCATTCCCGTCTGCAATGTCTCCTTCAGATCCACGCCGTACTCGCCGTTGAATGCCACGAAGCCTCGATTGCCACGCGAAAACGCTAAGAGGGTTTCATTTCGCAAAAATTAAATGTAATTTGTGGCTTTGAGGTTGTCTGCTTTGCGCCGCGCACCAGAGATTAGTTGTTAGATTGTCGGTCCGACCACGCACGATTGCTTGTTTTACTAAATAAAAAGTTAAAAAATGTTATTATTCACTTAGCAGTTTAACTTGGCTTGTTCTTTTGCTAACTGTACTTTTGTGGTCAAGATTATTGTTTTCGGGGGGGAAACATAAAAATCATGCTTGTTTTTCAGCTTTCGCGGGGGCAGATTTACAGCAATCAGAGCAAAAACCTTCTTTCATTTTCTTTTTTAATTTTTATCTTTTCGGAAATGTATCGTTCGTTCGACAGAAAAAGTTATTCTTTTTAATTGATATAAAACTTTTCCAAATCACACGTTGCACGTCAGCTGCAGAGCTCCGAAGAATTGTTTTATATACGATGCGACTTGTGAACGCTTCAGCGTTTTATTACTTTACCATAAATAGTTCTGAAAGTGAAACTTTTTAAACTTTTTAAAGAATTTTAACGAGTTTCCCCCCTTTTATTATCTTTTTTGCAGACATTTTCACTCTACATTGAAGTCGCTTTGAACTAAGATGTTTCCCAAGTACGAGCACCTTTTGAAACTCATAACTCTGTACAAGTATCGGAGTTAATAATACGATATACGAGAAAGGAATCCAAGTCGCTAATTGATCATAAAGTTTGAAAATATTCTATTAAGACACGTACCAATTTGATTGCCGCCATTGGACCACCAGTGGATAAGCGTAGAATCCTGAACGACGTTTCGGAAGCCAACCATGCCGTAAATTGGCGACCATCGATGCTCACAGACCCAGCCGTGTCCGCAAAAATTAGCGTCGGCACCATTAGGAAGATCGCCGGTAATCGGATCAGGCGACAGAATGTTCTGTTTATTATCAGCCGGTGGACCTTGGCTCGGGTTCGCGAAGTCAAACGAACTCATTATACGAGGGTGTCCATAGGGGTGTGCCAGCATGAATGCCACAGCCATCTGTCGATGGCCCGTCGATGGTCGGCCGAAGGAAAAAGAACACGAAGAACCGGTTGACATTGCGCAAGTGTACGCGGTGGGTGCGGATTCTCATTCAAAATGTCTCGATCTCTTAAAAGGAGAAGGGATCCTTTATTCGAAATTGGAAAGGTTGCACGCGCCATCCTTTCATTTGAGCAGCTCGGCGAAGAAAAGTAGAAAAAATGCGGCAGCGCGCGCGCAGAAACGCATTCTCTATTACGAAAGTTGTGCAAGTGAAAAATTGAGCGCGCGAGGCTCAAAACGCAAGCGCTCGTTTGTTGTTATTATGCAAATATGTCGAGTGCAACGACATCGCGGCTCTGGGCGCGCGCTCGCATATGCCCATATGCCTACATTTTCGCTGTTAATTGCATGCCACAATACGTAGATTCGCGCTGGGCTTTTATCCAGAGAGAAGAATTAACATCGCAGCGACGGCTACGACTAATTAATTCGAGCGTGAACGAGCGACGAACAAATGCTAATGCCGCAAAGGCTCGTAGTGGAAAGAGACTGGCATGATATTATTGTACCTTATAGAGCCTGGCTGCTTTGTAGTTGAGAATAGCATTACCGCCGGCGCCATGTCCGCGTTGATTGTCGTGATTGTCGATCATCGCAATCACGTCTCTAGTCGGCAAGAGTCCTCGATCTTGGAAACCCCAATTTCGCAGATCACGCATCGGCGCCCAGCCGCGAAATATCCTACCGAGTTGGATACCGAACGAGAACTCAATGACGCAACCCAACCGATTGTACTCCCGCTTGTTGACACCCTCGCCGCCGCTCAAGTCTATCACTTCCTGGAAGATGAAGGGACGCTCGTTGGCGCCAAACACATCCGAACGAAGGACCTTCAAACGACCATAGATCGCTTCCAAATCTCCGGGCCACATGTGCTTGGCTGCATCCACTCTGCGGAAAGATAGGTTTTCCTTTCATTTTCAGTAAGCACACGTGCGTCCCTGCGTTCGGCGAATGCGTCACAAGTCTAGCTTCCGTATGAGCACACACAGATGAGAACCAGTTGTGCGCGCCGGAAAATGCTAATTACTTTTTGTCACCACGCAGTTAATAACGGAAATCTGTATCAACGGTTTAAAACGGAACTGTAAATTGCAACGTGCGTCGTGCGTTTAGCGATTTGTTATTTCAAAACAAGGCGATTAAAATATTTAATGTCCGTCGTTTTACAATGCATTTTTCACTGTAAAAAGGCGTGAATTTTTTGTTGAAGCAAATTGTGACGCCACCGTGTGAGCTTTACTTCTTATTCAATTTTCCAGCAATTTCCCGTTGTTAATAATTCTTCCTGTACTCACCTGAATCCAGCGACGCCAAGTTCAATGGCATGGTTCAAGAATTCGACGATCTTTTCTCTGACGTATTCCTTGCCCTGATTGAGATCGTGAAGCCCGCTCAAATCGCAGTTTCTCACTTCGATACCGTTGTTATAATCATTGATACCGCAGGGATTATTGAAGTCATCAGGTCCAAATGGCACAGCTGGATAAAGTCGTTTTTTGGGTTCGGCGATCGATCCACCGGTGCCGATTGCCGGATCGGCGTCGCCTGTCATGTGATTGATAACTACATCGACGTAGATTCGCACACCCACGGTGTTGCAACGAGCGACCATGTCCTTGAATTCACTCTCGTTACCCGAACGAGTGATGATTTTGTATGAGATTGGTTGGTAACGTTCGTACCACGGACGATTTTCTATTATCAAGTTCTCACTGATAGGCGACACCTTTCAGCAGTAATAATTTTTTAAATTATAGTTACGCGAATCTCAAATTTGCTCATTGAACGAAAATGTATGATTGAACAATGTAAGCACTAAAAGAAAATAACGTTATTGTTGTTACCTGAACTCCAGCGAAGCCCATAGGTCCTAAAAATCTCTCACATTCTTCGGCGATATCCTTCCATTTCCACTCGAACAAGTGAACCATAGTGGTGCGATTATCAACATAATGTGGATCCTTATAAGCAGCAGAATCGTAGCTGCAAGCCAACTGCACTACTGCGGTGAAAAGGATGATAATAGAGCCTAGTACCGATTTCGACATGCTTAACTATTAACAAAAACAATTAATGTTCGGCAATTGTTGATAGTCTGTTATATATATATACACAGCATCACGTCATTGCTTCCTTCCCTCTCTATTAAAGCGTCCTTCGGCTGTCTGGGAAACCGATAAATTTTTACTTTATTTTTTAATGCTTACATTAAGTACGTTGTCGATCTTCTACGGCACGTTATTCGCATGTACAATTGCTGTAGAAAATGTATCGTAATAATGTAATAAATTTTCATCATTGTTTACCATTGACGTTGAAGTTACCAGGCCCATATGTTACAGCTGGATAAAGCCGTTTGTTTGAATTCGACAGCGGTATACCTTCACACGTAGGTGAAAAGAGGAGTCTTAAGATAATGCTATCCGTCACTCGTATGGATTCGACAAATAAACTCAGCGCTAGCAACTAGTACGCGTCAAGTCCACTATTTATGTCAGCAACTTAGTATGAAAAGCGTGCAAGTCCATTACGAATAAATTGCGATCCAAACAGTTTTCAAAACAAATTTTTCACGATTTAAATAGCATGGGGAAGAGTGAAGACAATGGCTTTCTGACGTTCAGTGCGTGTTGAGCCGGGTGCGCGATAAGTACAACGCTAAATTCCTCCAATCGATCTTCTTAATTAATTTTAGGCAACCGGTTATCGACGAACAGTTATAGCTTGTGCCTTCCCAATTATCGATACTTCTCATATTACTTATGTATCCATACAAAATACACTACACTTCACGCATCTAATTAAATTTGATTAAATACGTATACCTCCATGTAAAAAATATACATAATTGTTTCCTATACAGTAAATAGATTAATCACTCGAAATTTTCTGAACCAGCTTTGCAAGGTTTAGTTTGGTAATCTATTCGATCAACTTGATATAATTTAGTAACTTTCAAACCACCAACCAACCTACAACAAGTCTAGGAACTTCGATAAAGTAAAAATTAAGGAGAGTAATTGTAAAGTGTATTAAAAATATTTGGCATCGCATTGGATATTTAATTTACTTAAAGAAGTTCTGAACTTTCGTAGTATATTAAAATCTAATATAACTGGATATCAATTGCACGATGGCTCAGCTTGAGCATACGTACTCTGCACACACTCTTTAACCGAAAAGAAATACCTAGCTGGAATTTACGGGAATGCAATTGAATTTGATGATTTACACTTTATTAACTATCATAATTATGTTTAATTTTAACATTATCACAGTACCATTGATTATAATTTTCCATAATTATTCACGCGATAGACGTGTAAATAGAGTAGCTCTATTGTATCATTTTCTTAAAATATGTTTCAAAGTCACGATTTATAACAATCAAGTAAGTATAATATACTTGGAATGAATCCCGTGTTGTAAAAAGTGAGCACGTTCGACTCTGTTCTAAAAGAAAAAGAATTTTAATTAATCAATACTTGCACTTGGCCAGACAGATTGCCGATACGCAAATACTAGCACATTTCAATTCCCGGATCTTGATTAAATCGATTCCTGCGCTCGGAATGCCTCGGTACTTTCGCGCATGACACGAGAAAGAAATGCGCGCCCTTCGATTACGTGAGTTCGGTACGCCGATAGAACGATCCTTATCTCTCGCTTTTTAACCGTGCACTCGGGGCAAAAGCAGTTATATTACATATCCACGCTAGGCCGAGTCAATGCGAGAAGGAGGGAAAAACAAACGCCAATTGTAATGCAAACGAAAGAAGAAAAAGAGGAAGAGAAAAAGCGAGGCGATAACTGTAACGTCCGAGACGTATGTGTGGCGAGCCGAGGGTATACACTTATACGCTCTTATCTCGTAAAATTCAATTGGCTGCAGGTGTGGGTTGGCGCTATTGCGTTCGAAGGGCCACCATCGGTTACCGTTAGGTAACAAAACATTTCGATATTCCATGAGCTTTCATTCTCTTCGAAAGCGATACAATGATGGATGAAACGGTGAATCGTCGCGGCTATTGTGCGCGCGCGCACGTGCGCTTTTCTTCACCCTGTGCACGCCGCACGAATTCTTTTCTTTCCTCGTCTTCCGAGGAAGTTGCTGCTCGAGAACGGCAGAGCGATCGGGCTCGTCGGAGGGTGCACGGCCGCTGACTTTATAAGCCCGCGGGCCGCGACAGCAGCTCGTTCGCGGAGTACCGTTTGACTTCGCGCACACCGTGCCATGCAAATTAACGCGCGTGCGCAGCGCGCCGTTGCTGTGTCTTGTGCGTTGGACGTGCCCGCGCCATCGAGCTCAATATCTGACTTATAAATATTTATGTGCTTGGCAATCTTTCGTTGAATCATCGGTCATGATCGTCTTCCACCGTCCGAGTCAATTCAATGCCGCGTGCTCGTTCATTGCGAAATAAACGTGCAAGTCATTATTAGAAAAGCACACGATTCACGGAAAGCCTTTCATAGCTCACCTTCATATGAGCAGTTGAATCAACGGCCACTGCTGCCTGAGCAAAAGTACTTCGAAGGACTGTTTTTTTTTTTTTTTTTACAGCCGACCGATAGAACCCGCCGCCTCGGTTAGGGTAGGAATTTTTAAGGAAAACTAAGTATTAATCAGACGTGTGAAAAATGTCGAAATACAAAAGTCAATGACCGATGGAATGGTGATTACATTGAAAAACGCCGTTGCCCGTCTCCCTAGCGTTTGTTTGCTAGCCATAACCTCTTCTCTCTTTCTTCACGCGTAATTTCGTCTGGAAATCAAAATTCTCAAGGACACGGAAAAAAGAATATTAATCATCTTCAGTGTAGATACATGCGTAGGCGAACGATCGGCGACAACGACAGTTAAAACGCACGTGGCAATGATATTTCTCGCGCGAAGGGTAGCCGCTGCCTTGGCTTTTCGGAGGCGATACCACTGCGCGACTAATAGCTTGAAAGTGGCCATTATCGGCGCTACTGGAAATACAGGTATGATTGCGCAATAAGTTTGCGAAATCCTTTCGATTCCATTGCTGCCGATGAGTCTTGCACGACGCCACTGATGACTGATCGATCACGCGAATCGGAAGATGTCCATTTTGCACCATTCAAATTCTGAACATTAGTCAGTGATTGCACCGAGAATGCAAACGTACGTGACCGCGCATGCACCCGTCAAACGGAAAAATGACAGGCACGCAAATATTAAGCTCCTGGCGAATAAATGTAAAATGTAACTAAAAATCTCCGAATGCAAATTGACCGTAGCATGCCATTCTGTTCATCGCTCAAAATGTTTTTTTTTCTTTTTTTGGTTGGAAAGAAGTTACAACGTGGTGACACATCACATAGTGTTTTCGGTAATCTTTGGTGTCACTCTCTTGGCACCAAATACTTGGTATACTTATGAATTTCTAATCTGAAATGAATGTTTTCCCTGACACATGGTCCCGTACAGTCTCGGATGAGTAATGATTAATAGAAACGTCGGCATGGCATTATTCCTCTACGAGATTGCTTCGCTATCGCGGTTATATTGAGCACAAACGACTTGTCTCGTCTCGGCCATTAGCAACTCAATTATAATGTAGCTCTTAAAAAGCTTTCGACATTGGCTTCAGTAGAACCGCTTGATACACGTGAAAAAAAGGAATCAATAGTCGGAATGAGGACTGCGGCGCTGGATAGCTCAATACTCGCGCAGCGAATTCAGTCCACGAGTGCACGTACACAGAGCGAGGAACGACTACATTACGCTAGACTCGCGGGTCAATTGAATGGGTCTTTCTCTCGTTGCGCCGCGGCGGCGGAACAATGCGCTCCGCGCGAGATCTCGAAACAAGGACAGCGCACGCGCGCGCCGCCGTGGAAGAGAGAAAGACAGGAAAAAAGTGCTCCTTTAGAGCATCGACGTAACTAACTCGCTTCCCTGCTACGTGTGTATCTAGTCTGGGCGTGTGTGTCTGCACAATAAACGATTGTGCCTTGACTTAAAATTCAATTACAGTCGCGGTAATACGTTGCGCAAAGTGAAAGTATAACGCGACCAGCCATATTTAGAGACTGCAACTTTCTTAGGGACATTTCCTTCCTTTTTCGTTCTCTTTATTTTTTTAAACGTCGTTTTCTTATTTTTTCCTTCCATCGACGCTGACGTAACGGCGCGCGCCTGTCCTGACCCTCGGACTCTCGTTTTCGCAAAGCATCGCGCGTACGACGCGCTTGCCAAATCAGCCGTTAACAAAGCGCTTGCGCGCCTCACTTTTGTCATATTACCATTTTGGCCGAGTAATTTCGTTAAATAAAGACGTATATTCAGGCCGATTGTCGATGCTTCAAGTTACGAGTTACTACTAACGGCCTTTGCGAACTGCTTTACTAACCTGTCCGTCATGATTTTTCTTTCGACGGTTTGTAGAAAACAATCCTCATCGTACCCAACGCAACTTTTCTTTTCTCTCTATTCGATTGTTTGCTTGGATACGTAATCTGATCCAATTATATGGCTAATAACCAGTGCTAAAGTATGTTGATATAACAGAGAGAACGAAAAAGCAAGGCTTGACTTTTCCCATAAGCCAATCGAGATTCGATCTGACGATTGGCATACAGCCAAAGCGATTGTTCGAAACGCGAGCGTTTGACGCCAACCGAAATTTTATAGGAAAGACGATGGCGCTGTGTCTCAAACAATCGCCGCTTATTGATGAGTTGGCTATATATGACTCACGTCCGTTTGGTGGACTGCTGATGGAACTTAGACAAATGGACACAAAATGCCGTACGATGCTCGGTGTCGAGACGGCGTCTGTGCCGAGAAATAAGGTTCGATAAACGCAATCGAATTTTTACATGTACTCGATTTTTCCGTATCGGCTAGAAAAAACAGTGAACCAATACTTGCAACAAGTTTTTCTACTTACTGTCTGATAGACGATAAAATTCAATTATTGGTTTCCAATCGTGAAGGTAGCAGCAGATCTTGATAATAAACCATTGGCGTTCCGCTTGTATAAATGTAAATGATGTCAGTCATGATTTTTTTATCGTCTCGTAATTATTATTATCTTTCTCGTTATCGCAGTTGCGTAACAAAGCGCTGATGAAACAATGTATTAATTGTGCAAAACTTGATTTTTAGAAAATGGAGCTGGAGAGAGCGTTGAAGGGAGCGAAGATCGTCATGTTAGTGACAGAGCCATCAAAGCAACTTTGCGAGCAAGCGCGTGAGGTCGAGAGCGTCGTGGCTGGATTGTTACACTGTTGCCCCAAGGCAGGACGTAGTTATTTTCTTCGTTTCCGCTGGGAGATTGTCAATTTTTTCCCTCCCGTCGTTTTTTTGCCGCTTACAACTAGTAGTTTTACCGCTACGCAGTTTTCCATTGTTGGCGTTCCCTCCGATCTTTTTTTCGGCTAAACGACGTGGCCGCAAGGTTGACCGGATTAACATTCGTAAATCGTCGTGGGACATCTTTCTGCCAGAGCGATAGATTCATCGACCAATTGTCTGTATTTCTCGTTTTCTCGAAGATCGCGAAAATCTTGGACAATGCGGGGCACGTGACTCCGAAATGTCGCCTCTATAGTTACGTAACCGCATGGCTCGCGCTCGCGCTCGCGCGTCGCTTGTCGACCCGTCGCAAATAACCGATGAAAGTTAAGCGAGCTTGACTTTCTACGGAGTCAATTATGGAAGTAATTACGAACTGAGGGATTTTCGATGTATTATGCCTAAACGCAGCACAGAAATATTTTTCGGAACGATTATCTACGAGGAGACATGGAGTGTCGTCGTCCGATGCGTTGTCGAGTGAAATGCCAAATTCGTTGGATACCCAGCTATCCATCGCAAACGCCTCCTTTGTCTGAATAGGCGCGCGCTCGACTGTCATCGCGGAAAACTCGGCAGTTTCTTGGCTGTGAATCGAACTACGAGTATAAAGTCGCGTGCACTTTCTAATAAACCTTTACCGAAAACGAAAAAATGAAGGGAGAAAAGGTTGCTCGCGACAAGACTTGGCTCTCTCACGATAGGCATCGTAAGGAGGCAAGAAGGAGAAAGAAAAAAGGCAGGCAGGCAGGCAGCGAGCGAGCGAGCAGCTTGTGTACGCTTTCGACTGCTGAAAGTGCCATCCTGTACATGAGGGATATACCGGCAACACGTTAACGAACACGTTTCGCGATTGTTATCGGCGCTCAAGCGTGTTACACTACTATATACACTGCTCTCGCGGTCCCTCGACGGCTATATGGCGAGCGGCAGTTTTTCGCGACGACACGTGGAGCGTGCGGGAGGCCTGGACGAATCCGCGGAATCGGCCATTTCCGAAGTTTCCAATTGGGCGTCGGTGTACGATTAATCGCGCGCGCGCGCGCGCCCTCGCACTTTTCAAGCCCTAAGCGACTCCACGAGCGTCGATTTATCGCCGCGGCACGCGAGTCTGCCCGCCGAAACGGTCGGCGAGTTGCCGGGCAATCTTCGCGCTCGTCTTTTTCTTGTCCTTCCCACGAATTCTCGCCGAGAGCCATTGGAAAGCGATCGCTCGGGGCTCAATGAACCCTCCCGCGCTCGCGAACCACGACAAAAAAGAGGTCTATTGACATTACGGTAAAAACGGCTACATCCGCGTTTTCGCTAAAGCGTCGCTCGCCGGCGACCAGTGAGCGGGGCCGCCGCCTTCAAAGACGTTTTTGGCCCGCCCGACAGGCCTTCGTCGGTTTGGTGTCGCCGTGGGTGAGCAGCCTCTTGCCGATGCTCTTCGAGTTGTACAAGAAGGACGGACTTTTCCAGTGCGATCGGCTCTTCGGCGTGCTCAACTTGTTCTCCACGAGGGCCAACTCTCTGGCGGCCGAGACTCTGGGCGTCAATCCCGAGTTCGTGGTGGTGCCGATTTTGGGTGGCGGCTGCCCCGAGACCTGCGTGCCGCTCTTCAGTTGCGCTCGACCCTGCGCCGAATTCACGCCCGTAAGTCGAAGCCGTCGGCCTTTCTCCGCTAGCTAGTTGGCTTCGGCAGGCGTGTGCGTCGTCAACGAGCTTGATTTCGCTGTCGTACGCGGTCGAAGGGGAGCCGGCGCGAAATTTCAGCGTGCTGGCATTCTGAAAAGATTGTATACGCGCAGGAGGAGCTGGCGAGATTGAGGCATGCGATGAAAAGCACGCCTTACGACGAGTCATCGTCCTTATGCGCTGGCTACGCTGCCGCGCGCTTCTGCATCTCATTGTGCAAAGGTCAGTCAGCCGCGGGTCGCTACGTGCGCCGCCGTCGTTACGTCGTCGCTCGCTTTCTCGCGGGCGTGTCGTGCCGCCTTTTCGGAGCGCTCTTTTCGTGGGCTTTGTGGGCTTTGTGGGCTTTCTTGGCTTTCTTGGCTTTCTTGGCTTTCTTGGCTTTCTTTCTCTCCTCGTCTCGCCCTCGAACGCGCGCTTTCCCTTCGACGACAATCGATAAATAAGCATTTGTCGCAATAGCACAGTGACGACTGGTGAAGCTACGTAATCGTGTGAAAACACCTAATAATACAAATTGTCGGCTGCTCGGTCGAGAGCATCAATAACGCGGCCGAGCCGTGAAAAAATCTGAGCGGCAATAAAATCTCTCACGTTACAAATGGCGCGGACTAACGAGTGTGGCGCGCGCGCGTTTCGCCGCCGTCTATGACAGCTGAATGGGCCGATTGTCTCTCACGCGCGACAATTATGAGGAAACTAGGGTAAACAAAGCGCGTCAAGAGGTGCATGTAGCCGATATTATCAGACCCAGGCCGACTAAGAAAGAAAGAAAGATAGGTATATTCCGCAAGCGCGCAAAACTAGCGCACAAATTGCATAACAATGCGCCTCGGCAGCAGCTTACATATACAGGCGTTATCTATACTTACTTGCGCGGATTTCTCAAGTTCGGACCAGGCGATATGTTGGCTTTTCTCATAGGAGGGCTCGTTCCCCGTCATCTCGCAGTCGGGTGGAGAGAGAGAGAGAGAGAGAGAGAGAGAGAGAAAGCGTGAGAACGACCGATTTTTCAGGTGGCTTCTTTGAAATTCCTCGCGACAGCCGTCGTCGTGAACGTCGTGATTCAATTATTCTATTAGCAAAAGGGGAGAGAGAGAGAGAGAGAGTTGATAGAGCTCGCTGACAGATCATTGTTGCGCCGCCGCCGAGCCGAAAGCCGAAACTGATTCCGAAATCTCGTAATTGACGATTTCGTGCGGAGCTGAATTTTCGATCGGCGCGCGTTGCACAACGGATCTGCATCGCGCATAATTAAATTGACCTCCTCTCGGGACGGAGGAGGAAGACAGCTATTGCTCCTGAACTTTACATTATGCGCGTGCACAGCGTTGAGAGACGAGCGCGGGGTGCTCGAGTGCGCCTATGTGCGTTCCTGTCTGGTGCCCGAATTGAAGTACGTCGGCGCGCCCCTTGAACTTGGACCGAGCGGCGTGCAAAGACATCTCGGTGTGCCTAGACTCAGCAATTCCGAGTGCGACGCCATGTTTCAAGCTATCCCGAGGATCAAGCATCACATTGCGCTCGGCGAGGTAAGTTTTCGTTTTTTCTCCGCGCGCCGAGAGATTCAGTGCGCGAGATTGATATGCCTATTACGGAATCGAAAGTGGTCTACTTCCACTTTGATAGATGTGCGGATATATATTTCGCGAAATTATGCATATGTATGGACCATCGTATATTTTACTTAACGATTTTTCCTTTTGTGTTTAATGGCTGTTTAAACTTTGAAGAATTGAAGGCGTATAGGCATGAAATCGTAATTTTAATTGGGCGCTTGCGTTACGGCATAATAAATACATCGTTGCCACGAGTTTTAAAAGTTTTAACGTCGGCGCTTGAGTAAAATATAGGTGTAAAAGTTTATACGTGCACACTTGAGACACGTTTTGTCCGGAATATCAATAATCCGGATTTAAAACTTACAATTATGGCTTTCACGCAATCGACGATGCACACCGAAAAGACTCGTTGCCTTTGTACGATTCTTTCTAAAAGAAAAGTCTCGATGGAAAAAAAAATCATTTTTTCGTTCGATCCGATCAAAGAGAAGCGCCCGAAGCCGCCTGCGCTCGCCACACCAGAGCAAAAGAATAAATTCCCGAGTGTAATCAGTTCGGGCCCCCGTATGCATAACTTGATTTTTTTTTTCAATTACCCTGGTCAATTCAAATTGGCAGAGTTTCAACAAATTATACCTGCAATATTATCACTGAATGCCGTTACAACGTAATGTACAACTTTAAACAAAAACATTATTGACGATTATTACCGCTTCCATTAACATTCTGCAGCACGCAAATTGTTGATTTTTACGATTGATTCAAGTAGCCCGTCAACTTTTTATCTCCAAAAACTCTTACGCAACAACTTCCCGCGAGGATGTTTCTTGGGGGCTAAAAACTCTTATTGAATCGAACATTAACATCGTCGACAAATCGATACTCGCCCGTTTTTGTATCGAAGAGTAATAATTTTATTTAAACTTTTACGTAACGATTATCTCGATTTCAACGCAGTGCGCTGCGGTCGCGTCTGAAGTGTCTCTCGAAATACCTGTTCTCGCAGCTACTTCTCTCTCTCTCTCTCCTCTCTCTGTTTTTTCTCTTAGAAAAGGAGAGAAGAGTAAAAATATCGCCATACATGCGTGTACGTGTGTGTAATCCCGCGGGGAAATTAATCAGAGGTCCGAGAGAGTCACGAGCATTACAAATTTCCCTTTCTCAGACAATGCCTTGGCACGTAATCGCTTACGCAACGCTAGTTCACATGCATACTCAGCCGCCGAAACAAAAAGAATCCTAATAACTGTGCTTTTTTAATGTCCGAAAAAAAAAACAACAACAGAGCCTTGCCCTGGGGTGTGGAACTTCAACGGAGACTTGTCCTCTGCCGGCTAGATGCGATCTGGGTTAATCGTCGAATCGAGGATATAGCAAAAACTGATTGTAAGGAGTGAAGCAAGAGCGAGTACTCATGAGTACGTATGAGCATGTTTTTGCCTGGAAGAGCGTAAAAATTGCAGTTTGTTAGCGGCGTGCATCCTCTCCCTACTCCCTTTATTCTTTTAGAAGTCTCTCGGCGCAGTGCAAGTATAGCCGTAAGAAACGTGATCCGTAGACGAGGCGGTTGAGCGACCTAGGAGAAAAGAAACTCCGAGGACGAAAAAACACAGCAACGCGCGAGGGATCATAGCCGAAGGAGGAGAAAACTCTCTCTGGCGATCATCGTGTACCTTATTGAAATGCAACGCTGTGCTGGGTAGGCTCGAAAAGAAAGGCATAAAAATTGAAGCGATCCGTGGAAACTTTATGCAGATGTCTCCATGTCAAACCGTTCGTGTAGTCGACAAATTACAGTGACAATATTCTTATTGCGCTCGTCAGTTGCCGATCCGTTTCCCAAGCTAAAATAGCAAAATCGGCATCGATCTGCCGACAAACTAAAACAAGTGCGCAGCTGCACGAGGCGTACCGAACTGACACACAGGCGAGGCGGCCTCTGTCGCGCTTTTCGCCACGGATCAATTGGACTCGCACGGCGGCGGCATATCGTGCGTCTAATATACATAGATCGGCGCGCTCCTCTAGCCGGCGAAAAGAGAGAAGCTCGTGCACGTACAAATGCTCGCGCGCACGAGTACACGTGCGCGCATTATACAGGTTGCCGCCACAGCCGCGCGGAGGTCTAAGTACTCTCTCCAGCATGAGTCCCTATATCTCTCGAGGCCCCCAACAAAACCCCCAAGAAAGACTTCTCTCGCCGCTGCGGCCTCCTCTTCCGCATTCTCCTCTCCCCTTCTCCCTCGGAGATGATGTAGCATCGCGTTCTCTCTCTCTCTCTCTCTCTCTCTCTCTCTCTCTCGCGCGCGCGCGCGCCAGCGCGCCGTTGAATTATAAAGCTCCTAATGAGACCTTGAACTCGTAGCTGCCGCTGCTGACGAGCGAGTAAAAATCCATACTTCGCGTATGTACTCATTACCTTTCGCGCGTCTTCTCCTTTTGTTGTAGCTCACGACGACGTCCACGATGATTATGCGTGAGAGGTGTAGCTTCCTTTTTTTTCAGCGGCAGAGCGCGGCCTTCGTCAGCCGACTGCAGGGCCTTTCATTTGCAATTATGAGCTACCGAGCCGAGTCATTTTACCCTTTCGTTATTTGTGTCAATACAAGTAACAAAACACCGCCGTGTAATCTCCGTCGAGTTCCATGCTTTGAACAATGTTCTGCACCGAGCAACGGCTACCATCCACTACATCCGACGACAATTCCCGCATAAAGGTGAAATACGTGCGACTTACAGTATTTCGCGATTTGCAATGGAACCGAGAGAGCGGGCGAATATATTTTACGGTTGCATAAAGCTTTTCTCGCGGCTTTTCAATTGTTATTATTATCTTCATTCTTTCTTTAGCCATCAACATTTTCAATAATTTCAGTTATTCTAGAAGAGTATACTCTTGGACTAGTTTTACATTTGACTTGTTTGGACGGCATATTCAAATACAACTTGAAGTTTTTCTTGTAGATATAAGAAACTCAACGAAATGAAAAATTTGTTGTGACATTCTGTTGATCAGCGTCATTAGTAGTTAGCTACTAAATGTTGTGTTTTTTAAAACATTTAATTTTCTACATCTAATAATAGACCTTCTAGTAGGAAAAATCCTAAAATAGACGCTTGAAATGCTCTCAAGAACGATGTAGTTACTGCCATATTTCCCATAGTTGTACAGCCGCAATAAAAAAACGTCAAACAATGCATCACGCTTGACGAAAACTTAATATTCCCGCAATACACGCACGTTAAGCCGTAGAAAAATGTGAAAAAGTTATCCAACAAATATAATTTTCTATGCGGCTTGCGCGCGGAAAAGCGGAATTATATAAATTAGCCTGTTGGCTGGCTAGCACAAATTATATAAAATTTATTAGAAACACGAAAGAGCCATAGAGCAGCAACGCTGGGAGGCTTCGAGATGTTTACTCTCAATCAAGAAACCGTCAAATCTGCGCGGCGGCTCGCGCTTTCTATCTCTTCCGCCTTCAAACTTTCCTTGCGCCGCGATTCTACTTTCTTACCGCTGCTACGTGTACGCGCACGCACTATCGCGTGCCCTCGTAAAATAACAAACAGTAACTTGCAATGTATCCCTTCATCTCTTTTCTAGGATAATTGCATCACCGTATATACCGTGAAAAAAAAACAACACAGCGGAGAGTTGACTCTCCACAGTTATTTCGCGTCGTATACGGAATTTTAAGGGAAGCATTTGCATTCTACAAGTGCGCTGGCCTTCAACACGAGTCGTTTTGAATTTCAAGCCGGGAAAGCACGCGGTAACAGCAGTAGCGCGGATTTGCAAATCAAACGTCCGACTGCCGCGAGAAATTAAGAAGAACCGGATCCATTTGTACGTGTCTTATAGAAAATGGCAGTGCTCGGGTTATGCAAGCTCGTAGCTCGCGTCAAGTATTTTTTTTTCTTTTCTTCGCTCGTTTCATTTTTTTCGAGAGTCACAGCACGCGTGGACTATCTTAATACGAACTTAACTTACCCGACAAATGACGAAGACGTATGACCAGTCTTATCTATTTGTACCGTACTCCGCTCTTTTTCGCGAACGTGATTCAACATTGGAATGTCTCTTGTTTGATTTAAAAATACGCATGTATAAATTTTACTATTGGGAAAAGTCGAGATCGAACGAGTTGTAGGTATGCTTGTAATAAATCAAAGAGTCCAATTGATTTTTTTCTCTAGTCGTTCGTTCGTTCGTTTTGTTTGTAAAGGAAGGGAGCAGAGAATTCGACGAAGTCTTGGATATAATTTATGTACTCAGTCTGCCGAGTATTTTCCTCTCATGGAGCGTGCCTCACGTAAATGTTCATTCAAAGGATGTAAACTTAAGTTTTATGAGCAAAACTGCTGCTTACTGATTTAAATGAGTGCTTCAAAACGCTAATTTATCGGCTTTTGCCTTCGACGGCAAATCACTTGTGCTCTTTCCCTTTTGCTCGCAAAATGACTGACGTTGCCGGACGATTTTCACACACTTTATTTTCTATATAATTTATCGAGCGCATTTTGTGAAACGTTCAAGCTCATCTATATTAGAGTTGACCGCCTTTTTCGAAATGGAAAGTCGATAAAAATGCTATTTAAGTAGACCATAATACCGAAACACACGTACGTAAAACGAACAATATTGAGAATATTATACTGACAAGGATAAATTATCAAGGGGACGTAAATAGCCAAGTGCGGATTTAAGTTTCAAGCGATACACAAGGAAAAACAGAAAGTTAATCGGTCGTGCAAGCTTCGAATGATGAACATGGTATTTTTTTCACCCGCCACTTACAATTATTCCTGCTCGCCAATGTCTCACTTGACCAACAACTTTTTTACAGATATGGACTCGATTCGCGCCTTATATTCCGTAAGATTGACGTTACGTGGGTCTCGTGCCGAAAACTCGCCCCGGCGAAGCCCGATGAAATCAGCAATAGATCCGTTGCGATTGGACGATTCGGCTTCGGGAAACGCAGCATTATTCGCGCAAACGCTGCAGGCGGCGCCTCGCCGACAGTCGCAATTCAATTAGCTTGGCTGGTGCCAGCCGCGGAATAAATCCGGCACACGTGCGCTCCCCGTGGCATCCCGTATCGATAGCCCAAGGACAATGAAGCCGCGCGCAAGGGGCGCGAGGAAAGGCTCCCTTGCGCGGCGCGAGCTTCCGCGACGGCGAGCTAACAAAGCTCTCGCGCGAGACAAAGAGAAAAGCTTTACACGAAGCGACGGAGAAAAAAAGGGAAACGATCGCTGCACGAGCCGTCCCCTTCAGCTTTTGTGTACAAATACACTGCACGCGCCGTTTCGTAAGCGACTGCTATATATCTCGTGCGGCTGCACACGCGCGCGAGCATCCGCGGACGGCAAGGATCCGAGCCGTGAGTTACGGGCCGGCGCATTCGTATCGCGTGGCTGTCTGGCTGTCTGGCTGTCTGGCTGTCGAAATCAACGAAAGGTCTTTGACGAAAGCAAAGGCCCTCCGCGAGACGCCGATCTACGAAGCCTGGGCGTTGCTCTCTTTGTTTCGAGCTCCGAGCCATAAATATACATACGAGGTTCCGAGCGGAGCTGCCGCCTATTAGCGAATCCCGCCTCGAACCGAAAAACAGTGGGCGTCGACAGGTTGGGGCGCAGACTTGCGCGAGACGAGGGGCAGCGAAATAAGTCGCGCACGAGCAGGCGCTCATCCCGGCAATTAAAGGCGTCGGCTACCGGTGGCGTACGTAACCGAGGCGATCAATCATCGGCGCGAGCGCGCTCCAATAAGGAGAGCTTGTGACCTTAAACCGGCGCTGGCGAGAGAGGATCAAAGCGAGGAGGAGCAGGAGGTGGGCACGCTCGGCAGGGAAAGGCCCGTGCGCGCGCGATATTCCCTTGACACCGAGAGCGCGGTGAATGCACTCACGCAGCTCCGCTACAGCAGCCGAGCGAGCAGCTTCCTGCTTCACATCCCGCGTATTTCATAAAATATCGACGCGCCGCCGCCGTCGTGCTCCAACGGTATATCCTAGCCGCTTCAATAATTCATCGCTTAATTGACTTTTAAAATGGAGCCCGTCGCGGCGCAATGACTCGCTCGTCGCCGAGGATTTTCGGCGGCAAATGTCATTTCTCGGAGCGCGCCTCGCTCGCGAACGAATCCTCGGCTGAAAAATCCACTCGCTCTCGGCCGCCGCTCTATACAGTTACTAACGGCAATTTCTTATCGCGCGCCTACGCGCCGCACACACGCTCATTGTTCCCATATGATAAATGCTGCTTTTTTGTGCTCGCGGAAAAAGGTATCGCTGGAAGGACAGCCAAGAGCGAAATTGCGTTTGTCGCCGCGGATTAGCGTCCGCG